TGTTGATGAAAGAGGAAACAAGATGCAGTCCCTGTCCTGGAGGACACACAGCCTAAGAGAAAGACAAATATCTAAGCAGAAAGTGGTAGTCATACGGTCAATGCGTTTATGCCATGTGCTCTGATAACAGAGGGGGCCATTCACTTAGCCCAGTCCAGAAGCAGGTCAGGGAGGGAAGTCAGGGTTTACACTGGACATGAAAGGATACCTGAGCTAGATCTTAAAAGATGAGAAGTTAGGGAGATAAATAACAGGGAAAAGAACATTCAAGATAAGGGAACAAATAACAGGAACAAAGGATTGAACGTGAAACAATACTTTGATATATGGTAAAGGGGGTGAGGTGTGAAGTACCACTGGTATAATAGATTATTATTATTATTATTACTAGAATGTAAGCATAGAGACGACAAGGGATAGAAAAGGAGATTGACAATGTACAGGCCAGATTATGGAAGAACTAGAATGCCATACAAAGATTCTTAAATTTTATCTTGTAGGTCATTGAGAACCACTGTTCAGTAGGAGAATGACAGAAAATCACATTTCACAAAGTCAGTCTGGCATACTGTGGTGGATGAATCTGAGAGGGAGCAAGAATGGAGGTGGGAAGACCAGTTAGTAGACTATCGCAGTAGTGCAGGCAAGAAACAATGAGATCCTTAACTAACAAAAATCCCTATGCTGTTCACAATATTCAAGGATGATCACAAGGTAGTAGAAGAACAGAAAACTACTACATTGATAAATATATATATGTGAACACATAATACTTATATATTACATATATTCTTATATTTACATATATAAATATGGGCTTCCCAGGTGGCACAGTGGTAAAGAGTCCATCTGCCAATTCAGGAGACACCAGAAACACAGGTTTGATCCCTCGGTCGGGAAGATCTCCTTAGTAGGAAATAGCAACCAACTCCAGTATTCTTGCATGGAAAATTCTATGGAAAGAGAAGCCTGGCTGACTATAGTCCATGGGGTCACAAAGAGTAGGACATGACTGAGCAACTGAGCATGCACGCACACACAGAGACACGTGTGTGTGTGTGTGTGTGTGTGTGTGTGTGTGTATAAAATAAAAAAGCATAGGTATATATACTTTTTTGCTACTATTACATTATAGATTGCATCTTTCTACATTAATCAAAAAGGACAGGGAATCCCATGGTGGCCCAGCGGTTACGGCTCTGTGCTTCCACTGCAAGGGAGACAGGTTCAATCCCTGATTGAGGAACTGGATACTGTAAGCCACAAAGCATGGCAAGAAAGGACAAAGAATTTTTAAAAAATAATGTTCGAAAACTAAAAGGAAAAAGAAGCTACAATTCAAAGTATTCTATTTATTTTAGAACTGGGATTCCCCTGATGGCTCAGATGGTATAAGAGTCTGCCTGAAATGCGGGAGACCTGGTTCAATCCCTGGGTTGGGAAGATCCCCTGGAGAAGAACAGAGGAACTTTTAGAACTAGCAATTAACAAATTTAAATTTAGAAGGTGGAATATTATTTAAAATGTATCCTATAAAGTATCTGAAATCAAGAACATTACCAATTTCTCAGAAATCTGCACTAGATCTATATAAATTAAAAGCAATAAAATAATTTAATAAAGAAAATAACATGACCTTAGTGAACCTACCTTGCCATGTGTACCATTTAATATTCACAAATCTTAGTGAGGTAGGACCATTATATTTATTTTGCAAATGAGAGAATGAAAGCTCAGATAAGTTTACTTTCCTAATAATCAGGGCTTAAAGTTTGTCTGTTTTTAGAGATCTCATTGACATGTAGCCACATATAAATAAGACTGTAAGCATTTCACAAGAATATTTTCATTTCACAAATATGGCACTTCATATCAGAAAGCCAAGATTAGGTTTGGGCAATAAAACCAAGACTTTGGGGTCAAAGAGAACTTGGCATATATCTAGACTCTACCCGTTATTAGTTGCGAGAATATAAGTAACTTCTCTGAGCTTCAACAAGTATAAAAGAGGTTAACGAGGCCTCAAAGGGTTTCTGTAAAGATCACAAAGTAACCAGTCCAGATAAGTAATCAACAGTCGCTAACACTATTACTCATAAGTCAAGAAAAAGTATAAATAAAACTAATAGACTGCATTAAAATTGAAATAAAAAATTTAGGAAAAGTACACCCGTTTCCCCTGCTATAAATGCTTCTTCAGCCATTATTGCTGTTGTAAAGTCGCTAAGTCCTGGCCGACTCTGAGACTCCATGAACTGCAGCAGGGCAGGAGGAGGAGTTTGCTCAGATTCATGTCCATTGAGTCAGTGACGCTATCTCATGCTTTGCTCCTCCAAAGGATGAAGGAACATCCTTGCATCCCCTCTTTCTCCTCTTACTTTCTCAGCATCAAGGTCTTTTCTGCTCTTTGTATCAGGTGGCCAAAGTATTAGAGTTTCAAATTTAACATCAGTTCTTCCAGTGAATATCCAGGGTTGATTTCCTTTAGGATTGACTAAATCAATCAGTGCAAGGAGTCCCTTGGACTCTTTGTAGTCCAAGGGACTCTAAACAATTTTTTCCAGCACCACAATTCAAAAGCATCAATTCCTTGGTGCTGACCCTTCTTTACAGTTCAACTCTCATGTCCATACATGACTACTGGAAAAGCCACAGCTCTGATTATATGGACCTTTGTCGGAAAAGTGATGTCTCTGCTTTTTAATATGCTCTCTGGGTTTGTTACAGCTTTCCTTCAAAGGAGCAAGCATCTTTAAATTTCATGGCTGCAGTCACCATCTGCAGTTGATTCTAGAGCCCAAGAAAAGAAAATCTGCTACTGCTTCCACTTTTTACCCTTTTATTTGGGACTCGATGCCAAAGATCTTCATTTTTTGAATGTTGAGTTTCAAGCCAGCTTTTTCACTCTTCTCTTTCATCCGTTCATCAAGATGAAAGGCTTTCAAGCCTTTCATCAAGGGGCTCTTTAGTTCTTCACTTTCTGCCATTAGAGTGGTATCATTTATATATCTGAGATCGTTGATATTTCTTCTAGCAATCTTGATTCCAGCTTGTGATTCATTCAGTGTGGCATTTTGCATGATGCACTCTGCATATGAATTAAATAAGCAGTGTGATAATATACGGCTTTGACATACTCCTTTCTCAATTTTGAATCAATTTGTTGTTCCATGTCTGGTTCTAACTGTGCTTCTTGACCCATAAACAGGTTTCTCAGGAGACAGATAAGGTGGTCTGGTACTCCCATCTCTTGAAGAATTTGCCACAATTTGTTGTGATCCACCCAGTCAAAGGCTTTAGCATAGTCAATAAAGCAGAAGTAGATGTTTTTCTGGAATTCCCTTGCTTTCTCTATGATCCAACAGATGTTGGCCACTTGATTTCTGGTTCCTCTGCTTTTTCTAAACCCAGCTTGTACATCTGGAAGCTCAGTTCATGTACTGCTGAAGTCTACCTTGAAGATTTGAGCATAACCTTGCTGGCATGTGAAATGAGCACAAAATGTGAAAGTGAAGTCATTCATTCATGTCTGACTTTTTGCGACTCCATGGACTATACAGCCCATGGAATTCTCCGGACCAGAAATCTGGAGTGGGCAGCGCTCCCCTTCTCCAGGGGATCTTTTCAACCCAGGGATCGAACCCAGGTCTCCCGCATTGCAGGCAGATTCTTTACCAGCTGAGGCACAAGGGAAGCCCAAGAATACTGGAGTGGGTAGCCTATCCCTTCTCCAGCGGATCTTCCCAGCCCAGGAATCCAACCAGCGTCTCCTGCACTGCAAGCAGATTCTTTACCAACTGAGCTATCACAGAAGTCCCAACTGTATGCTTAATTGTACAGTTTAAGATTCTTTGGCACTGCCCTTCTTTGGGGCTGGAATGAAAACCGACCTTTTCCAGTCCTGTGGCCACTTCTGAGTTTTCCAAATTTGCTGACATATTTAGTGCAGCACTTTAACAGTAATGGGCTTCCCTTGAGGCTCAGCTGGTTGCAAAGAGTCAGACATGACTGAGCGACTTTCACTTTCATTTGAACAGTAACATCTTTTAGGATTTTAAATAGCTCAGCTGGAATTCCATCACTTCCAGTAACTTTGTTAATAGTAATGCTTTTGAAGGCCCACTTGACTTCACACTCCAGGATGTCCAGTTCTAGGTGAGTGACCACATCATCATGTTTATCCAGGTCATTAAGACCTTTTTTGTATAGTTGTTCTGTATATTTTTGCAACTTCTTCTTAATCTCTTCTGCTCTACTAGGTATATTATTTACAATACCATACCTAACTCTTAAGAATATATAGTCAAGTGTTGATAATCCAATTAACATATTAACTGGTTTGCACATAATATGTGATTAAAGTGCCATAGCAATCCACATTCCCCCTTTATTACAGAGAAGTTGGTTAGAAATCTGTAATGACCAAAGTCTTCCCCCAAACACACACACACTGTAGCTCCCAAATTCGTACCACAGCTCTTCCCAAATTCCACCCCAAGAGCTCTGGTTCTTGCCTTGGCTCTTCCAAGGCCACTGCTAGGGAAAGGTGACAGAGAACTGGAATAATCAGTATTTGCCACCTCATTACTGGGCCCTCTGGGGAATAACTTCCTGTACCTTTTGTGACATTTATGACTTGATCCTCACTCCCCCACAACTCTATCACATAGCCCATGTTGAAGAAGTATAACTTAGAATCTGTGAGCAACTTTAACCCATTTTACTTGATTAAAAAAAAAAAAAACCTCTTGGCAAAACAAAATAAATTCCTGTTATTATACAACCATTTGAATTACATAAAGCTTTTAGCTGGCTTTAATTCAATACTAACTATATTTATTATTGTAGTAGTTTAGCATTTTAGCAGTTAAACTTAGTGATATCACAAAGAATAATAAACCCCAGGCAAAGAGTCCCTGAGACCCTAGTACTATATAAATACTGCTATGTATCCATTTTTTAGTCTATTATTATATATCATAAAAATATAAAAAAATTACCTTGGTGTTCTTCTAAATCCATGTCAAGTTGTCTAATTTCTTCACTAAATTGATTTATTTTTTCTTTTATATCTGTTAACCTGTTGAAAATATTATTTAATTAATCTATGGCAGATAATTTTGCTATTCAATAAAAACATTTAGTGATGATGTTACAAAATCTTTAATCTTTTCTAATCTGCAGAAATAATATTGATAAAAATATGCTTTATTCTGAGGACAATACTATAAATTTTGAGAGAAAAATATTTTTTCGTGATTCATCTTTAGAGTACAAGTGTATTCTGAGAACGTCAGCTTGCCTGACTTCAACAGCAGGCACTTCCCCAAAGTTCTTTTGAATTTTACTTGTCATACCAAGAAAATAAAAAATCTTTAGCAACCTTATGTAGGTTTGTATAAACTAAACTAAGTCAGCAAGTTTGTCTTAAAAGTTGGAAAATAACAGAAAATTTACCATTGGGAGCAGATTATATGGGTTAAAATTTTCACAAAAGCAGTTGTACTTACTACAGAACTACAGTAATCATTAGAAAAAAAAACTAAGATCATAGCATCGGCTCCCATCACTTCATGACAAATAGAAGGGGAAAAAAATGGAAGCACTATCAGATTTTCTTTCCCTGGGCTCCAAAATCACTGCAGATGGTGACTGAAGCCATGGAATTTAAAGACATTTACTCCTTGGAAGGAAAGCTGTGACAAACCTAGACAGCGCATTAAAAAGCAGAGATGTCAGTTTGCTGACAAAAGTCCATATAGTCAAAGCTATGATTTTTCCAGTAGTCATGTACAAATGTGAGTTGGACCATGGACCATAAAAAAGGTTGAGCGCCAAAGAACTGATGTTTTTGAATTGTGGTGCCAGAGAAGACTCTTGGGAGCCCCCTGGACTGCAAGGAGATTCAACCAGTCAACCCTAAGGGAAATCAATCCTGAATATTCTTTGGAAGAACTTATGCGGAACCTAAAACTCCAGTACTCCGGCTGCCTGACGTGAAGAGCAGACTCACTGGAAAAGGTTCTGATGCTGAGAAAGATTGAAGGCATATGGAGAAAAGAGGAAGCAAAGTATGAGACGGTTACATAGAATCACCGACTCAATGGACATGAATTTGAGCAAACTCCAGGAGATAATGAAGGACAGAGAGCCTGGCGTGCTACAGCCCATGGGGCTGCAAAGAGTTGGACATGATTAGTGACTGAACAATAACAACAAATAGTAATCAAGACAGTATGGTACTGGAATAAGGAAAGACATATATAGCCATGGAACAGAATTGTTTTGAGTCTAGAAAAAGGATTATATCTATATACATTGATTTTTGACAAAGGTGCCAAAACGGTTTAACAGAGAAAGAACATTAAGCAACATTTGTTGAAAGAATATTTCAACAAATGGTACTGGGACAGCTGGAAATGCATAAGGAAAAGAATACAATTGGACTCCTACCTCATACCGCTCACAAAAGTTAATGAATCACAGATCTAAACATAAGAACTGCACTATAAAACAGTTAAATAAAAATAAAACATAAGCATAAGTCTTCGTGAACTTGAATTAGGCACTGGTTTCTTAGATATGACACCAAAAGCACAAGCAAAAAAAAGAAAACAAACCAGATACCATCAAAATCTAAAACTTCTGTGTTTCAACGAACACCATAATGTAAGTAAAAAGAAAATCCACATAATGGAAGAAAAATTTTGCAAGTCATTGATCTGATGAGAGAGTCTATTTAGAATATATAAAGAACTCTTACAATTCACTAATAAGACAATAAGTGGACTCCTTTGACAGTCCAGTGGTTAACACTGCACTTCCAATGGAAGGGACTCCAGTTCAATCCTTGGTCAGGGAACTAATATCCCACATGGCACAGTCAAAAATAAATTAATAACCCAATTTAAAATTGGGAGGACTTCCCTGGTGGCCCAGTGGTTAAGAATTTACCTGTCAATGTTGGGGACACGGGTTCAATCCCCAGTATGGGAACTAAGATCCCACATGCCATGGGGCAACTAAGTCCATGAGCCACAACTACTGAGCTTCCACACCCTAGAGACTGTGCTCCACAGCAAGAGAAGTCACTGTAAGGCTAAGCCCATGCACTGCACCTACAGAGCAGCTCCCGCTCTCCACAGCTAGAGAAAGTCAGCATACAGCAACAAAGGGCCCATGTGCTGTAAGAAAGACCCAACGCAGTCAAAACACAAATAAAATTTATAAAACTGAATGGGAAAAAAAATGGGCAAAGAATGTGAACAGATATTTTTCCAAAGAATATATACATATGATGAACAAATACATGAAAAAAGGTTCAACATCATTCGTCATCAGGAAAATGCAAATCAATGAGATACCACTTCACACACACTATAATGGCTATAATCAAAAAGAAAAGGTAATAACAAGTGTTGATGAAGTCATGGAGAAACTGGAATACTTAGTCACTGATGGTGAAAATGAAAAATGGTTTAGCAGCATTGGAAAATAGTCTGGCACTGCCTCAAAAAGTTAAATATAGAGTTACTGTATGAATCAGCACTCCTAGGTAAATACCACTCTTGGTAAATACACAAGAGAAGCAAAAATATATGTCCACACAAAAATTTATAAATGAATGTTCATACCAGCATGATCCATCATAGCCAAAAGACAGAAACAATCCAAATGTCTATCAATTAATGAATGGATAAATAAATATGGTATATCCACGCAATGGGGTATTATTTGGCAATAAAAAGAAATCAAATAATGATACATACTACAACATAGATGAACCTTGGAAATATTCAGTTCAGTCACTCAGTCGTGTCCGATTCTTGGCGACCCCATGGACTGCAACATGCCAGGCCTCCCTGTCCATCACCAACTCCCGGAGTTTACTCAAATTCATGTCCATTGAGTCAGTGATGCCATTCAGCCATCTCATCCTCTGTCATCCCCTTCTCCTCCCACCCTCAATCTTTCTCAGCATCAGGGTCTTTTCAAATGAGTCAGTTCTTCACATAAGGTGGCCAAAATATTGGGAGTTTCAGCTTCAGCATCAGTCCTTCCAATGAGTATTCAGGACTGATTTCCTTTAAGATGACGGCTGGATATCCTTGCTGTCCAAGGGACTCTCAAGAGTCTTCTCCAACCCACTGTTCAAAAGCAACAATTCTTTGGTACTCAGCTCTCTTTAATAATCCAACTCTCATATCCATACCTGACTACTGGAAAAACCATAGCTTTGACTAGACAGACCTTTGTTGGCAAAGTAATGTCTACTTTTTAAATATGCTGTCTAGGTTAGTTATAGCGCTTCCCTGGTGGCTAAGAGGGTAAAGTGTCTGCCTGTAATGTGGGAGACCTGGGTTCGATCCTTGGGTCAGGAAGATCCCCTGGAGAAGCAAATGGCAACCCACTCCAGTATTCTTGCCTGGAGAATCCATGGACGGAGGAGCTGGTAGGCTATAGTCCACGGGATCGCAGAGTCAGACACGACTGAGCAACGTCACTTTCTTTTTCTTCCTTTCTAGGTTGATTGTAACTTTTCTTCCAAGGAGCTAGTGTCTTTTAATTTCATGGCTGCAATCACCATCTGCAGTGATTTTGGAGCCCCCAAAAATAAAGTCTGACACTGTTTCCACTGTCTCCCCATCTATTTCCCATGAAGTGATGGGACTAGATGCCATGATCTTAAGCGTTTTCTGAATGTTGAGCTTTAAGCCAACTTTTTCACTCTGCTCTCTCACTTTTCTCAGCAGGCACTTTAGTTCTTCTTCACTTTCTGCCATAAGGGTGGTGTCATTTGCATATCTGAGATTATGGATATTTCTCCTGGCAATCTTGATTCCAGCTTGTGCTTCATCCAGTACTTCATCCAGTGCTTCATTCTCATGATGTACTCTGCATATAAGTTAAATTTAGCAAGGTGACAATATACAGCCTTGATATACTCCTTTCCTGATTTGGAACCAGTCTGTTGTTCCATGTCTGGTTCTAACTGTTGCTTCCTGACCTGCATACAGGTTTCTCAAGAGGCAGGTCAGGTGGTCTGGTATTCCCATCTCTTTCAGAATTTTCCACAGTTTATTGTGATCCACACAGTCAAAGGCTTTGGCATAGTCAATAAAGCAGAAATAGATGTTTTTCTGGAACTCTCTTGCTTTTTCGATGATCCAGCGGATGTTGGCAATTTGATCTCTGGTTCCTCTGCCTTTTCTAAAACCAGCTTGAACATCTGGAAGTTCACGGTTCACGTATTGCTGAAGCCTGGCTTGGAGAATTTTGAGCATTACTTTACTAGCGTGTGAGATGAGTGCAATTGTGCGGTAGTTTGAGCATTCTTTGGCATTGCCTTTCTTTGGGATTGGAATGAAAACTGACCTTTTCCAGTCCTGTGGCCACTGCTGAGTTTTCCAAATTTGCTGGCATATTGAGTGCAGCACTTTCACAGCATCATCTTTCAGGATTTGAAATAGCTCAACTGGAATTCCATCACCTCCACTAGCTTTGTTCGTAGTGATGCTTCCTAAGGCCCACTTGACTTCACATTCCAGGATGTCTGGCTCTAGGTGAGTGATCACACCATCGTGATTATCTGGGTCGTGAAGATCTTTTTTGTACAGTTCTTCTGTGTATTCTTGCCACCTCTTCTTAATATCTTCTGCTTCTGTTAGGTCCATACCATTTCTGTCCTTTATTGAGCCCATCTTTGCATGAAATGTTCCCTTGGTATCTCTAATTTTCTTGAAGAGATCTCTAGTCTTTCCCATTCTATTGTTTTCCTCTATTTCTTTGCATTGATCACTGAGGAAGGCTTTCTTATCTCTCCTTGCTATTCTTTGGAACTCTGCATTCAGATGGGTATATAATTCCTTTTCTCCTTTGCCTTTTGCTTCTCTTCTTTTCACAGCTATTTGTAAGGCCTCCTCAGACAACCATTTTGCCTTTTTGCATTTTTTTTCCTTGGGGATGGTCTTGATCCCTGCCTCCTGTACAATGTCACGAACCTCTGTCCATAGTTCTTCAGGCACTGTGTCTATCAGATCTAATCCCTTGAATCTATTTGTCACTTCCACTGTATAATCCTAAGGGATTTGATTTAGGTCATACCTGAATGGTCTAGTGGTTTTCCCTACTTTCTTCAATTTTAAGTCTGAATTTGGCTTAAAGAGTTCATGATCTGAGCCAAAGTCAGCTCCTGGTCTTGTTTTTGCTGACTGCATAGAGCTTCTCTATCTTTGGCTGCAAAGAGTATAATCAATCTGATTTAAATATTGACCATCTGGTGATGTCCATGTGTAGAGTCTTCCCTTCAAGGAAGAGGGTGTTTGCTATGACCAGTGCATTCTCTTGGCAAAATTCTATTAGCCTTTGCCCTGCTTCAAGGCCAAATTTGCCTGTTACTCAAGGTATTTCTTGACTTCCTACTTTTGCATTCCAGGCCCCTATAATGAAAAGGTCATCTTTTTTGGGTGTGAGTTCTAGAAGGTCTTGTAGGTCTTCACAGAACCATTCAACTTCAGCTTCTTCAGCAATACTGCTTGGGGCATAGACTTGGATTATTGTGATCCTGAATGGTTTGCCTTGGAAAGGAACAGAGATTATTCTGTCATTTTTGAGATTGCATCCAAGCACTATATTTCGGACTCTTCTGTTGACTATGATGGTTACTCCATTTCTTCTAAGAAATTCTTGCCCACAGTAGTACATATAATGGTCATCAGAATCAAATTCACCCATTCCAGTCCATTTTAGCTCACTGATTCCTAAAATGTCAATGTTCACTCTTGCCATCTCCTGTTTGACCACTTCCAATTTGCCTGGATTCATGGACCTAACACTCCAGGATCCTATGCAACATTGTTCTTTAGAGCATCGGACTTTACTTCCACCACCAGTCACATCCACAACTAGGTGTTGTTTTTGCTTTGGCTCCATCTCTTCATTCTTTTTGGAGTTATTTCTCCACTGATCTCTAGTAGTATACTGGGCACCTACCAACCTGAGGAGTTCCTCTTTCAGTATCCTTTCTTTTTGCCTTTTCATACTGTTCATAGGGTTCTCAAGGCAAGAATACTGAAGTGGTTTGCCATTCCTTTCTCCAGTGGACCACATTCTGTCAGAACTCTCCACCGTGACACATCCGTTCTAGGTGGCCCTACGTGGCAGGGTTCATAGTTTCATTGAGTTAGACAAGGCTGTGGTCCATTGTTCAGATTGGATAGTTTTCTGTGATTATGGTTTTCTGCCCTCTGATGGAGAAGGATAAGAGGTTTATGGAAGCTTATGGGAGAGACTGACTGAGGGGGAAACTGGGTCTTGTTCGGATGGGTGGGGCCATTCTCAGTAAATCTTTAATCCAATTTTCTGTTGAAGGGCAGGGCTGTGTTCCCTCCATGTTATTTTTGACCTGAGGCCAAAATATGGTGGAGGTAATGAAGATAATGGTGACCTCCTTCAAAAGGTCCCAGACACTTGCACTGGTACACTCAGTGACCCCAACCATAATGGAAACATTATGCTAAGTGTAAGAATCCAGCCACATAGAACTATACATTGTATGCTCTTTTATATGAAATGTCCAGAACATGCTAACCTATAGAGACATAAGGCAGAATGGTTGCCTAGGGCTGAGAATTGGGGATGAGAGGTGTGATGGGATATGGGTTCTCAGTGGGGTGACTGAAGTGTTTGAAAATTGACTGAGGTGGTGGTTACACAATTCTGTGAATATACTAAAAAATCTCTGAATTGTACACTTTAAATATATGATTTGTATAGTATGTATTACATCCCAATAAAGCTGTTTTTAAAAAGTAATTATACTATGTAATGGCTCCTAACTAAACATTCAAAGAATTATTTAAAGCTATAAATAAAACTGAAAGCTGCACTGTCACTATGAACCACTGAAAAAAAAAGACTAACAATATGCATCTCTTATACACTTAAGACTACAATTTAAAAGATGAGAAATGAATGTAAAATGTCCTAATGTAAATGTACTTACTGCCGCTCCATGCTGGCTATTTCCTGATTATCTTCTTTAACCTATAAATGTATAAAGAGAAAATAGAATTTAAAGAACTGTTCATTGTTGGACCATCTTAAAGAGATTTTCCTTCTAAGGCATGTACTAAAATGTCAAATCTAGTCTCTTTCTTTTAACTTATTTCTTAAAATTCCTTTTAAGTTAAAAGGAACATCACAGGGGAACTAGTCAAAGATTTTTCTTTCCTCCTCAAAGGAAGAGTGGTGACTGATATATCCATACCTATCCAACAAAGCACAATGAGATTAATACATTTTCAGGACCGAATCAGTTTAAATAAATATCTAGGATGTTTGAGCCTGTCTCCCTACCCCTGGCTCCCCCTTACCTACTCTCAACCCACACACAAAGTAGGGTTGCCAGATTTAGCAAACCCCATTACATTTCAATTTCACCAAAACAATGAGTACCTTTTGTAGTATGTATATACTATACAGTATTTGGAATACACTTATCATCTTTACATATATATTTATTCTGAAAGATTATTCATTGCTTATCTGAAATTCAAATTTAACTTAATCATTCTATATTTTATTTAGCAATTCTATCCTGGGATCACTCTTTAGTCCCCTGCCTTCAATGATATCTTTCCAAGGAGTTTCAGAGATTCTAGATTATAATACCTTTATAGAATGATTCTAATACTTAAATAGCTCCTGTGTGCTAAGTCACTTCATTTGTGTCTGACTCTTTGTGACCCTATGGACTTAGCCCACCAAGCTCCACTGTCCATAGGATTCTTCAAGTAAGAATATGGAGAGGGTTGCCACCATGACTTCTTCCAGGGGATCTTCCCAACCCAGGGATCGAACCTGCACCTCTTGTGTTTCCTAAACTGGCAGGCAGGTTCTTTACCACTAATGCCACCTGGGAAGCCTGAGGTGATCCTTACTGTTCTTGCAAACCCATTGGATTCAATCTAAGACCACAAAGGAGTCCTATTTACAGGTTATTCACTCAATCTGTTTCCCAAATATATAGGCTCCTAAGGGCTGTATGTTTAGGGTGTTTTAGGGTGTCTCAGGATAAATAATAGGCTAAATTAAAGCCAGCCTTGGGGCAGTAAGAAAACTACTGAACACATGTGATACAACATTCTGACATACTATGATCTCACAGGACATTCTAAATTCATTCACTTTCATCAAGGCACTGATAGAAATAACCACACAAAGTCACCAGCCTTGGGGCACTTAATTTTCTATATATGAGGCCTAAAGCAAATAACGGAATACATTTTCAGTAAGATTGTCTAATTATTTACTGACCAATAAGAAGAGTTTTTCTTGTAAGGAACCAAAACATGAAAAAATGATCAAATATGTATGAAGACCATACAAAATTAGGATTTAAGTTAAAAAAAATAAAGTCTCTATATTAGAAATTACTTTTATCTAGATTTTTTTGGTCAAGCAGTTCATATTAATTTAGGTGGAGTCTGCTTTTCACTGTTTTGTTTTTTAAATAAGCTTATTGGCTTTCTGTTCAATGCATATGCCTTAAATAAAACAAATGGATACATTTACCAAATCCTGACATTTTAAAATAAGTATGTTTGTTTTTCCTACCTGCTTGAGCAATCTCTCTCTTTCTTCCATTGGAGATCCCATATTTTTGTCTTCTGCAATCATCTGATCTCGATGGGACTCCAACTCATAAAGCTTTTCATGTAGCAATACAGCCTCCTGTTTAACCTGGGAGTGTGCTATTTCCTAAAGAGAATTAAAAAAAATAATTTTAGTATTTTATCAAAAACTATTCAAATAGTTTTCAGTTTATAACTAAGGACAAATTTAAACTACCAGCTTCCTTAAATAGAGACATCAAGTATCTAGAATACTCAAGAATGCTACAAATTCTAAATACTGAAGAATAAAAATAAATCCCTATATACGTTTGTAAGCTATTCAGTCTAAGATTCACAAGAAGGTGACAGCTTTAGTTTTAGTTTCTAAATATAAGACCTAAGCAAAGATACAGACATCTCTACCAGTGGGAAGATAATAAAGAAAACGAAACGATATATGTACAACTTGAACCACAAAACTCAATTCAAAGTCCAAAGAACTGATCTATAGAGGGAAGATATTTTCCCTAAATAGATCATATATATGCTTTCCTACAATGTTATAGGTTGAATTATATCCCACCAAAAATATACGTTGAAGACCTAATCTCCAGCACCTATGAACTTGACTTAAATTGAAATACAGTCTGTGCAGATTTAATTAAGTTCTGATATCTTGAGGTCATTAAGGTGAACCTTAATCCAGTATAACTGCTGTCTTTATTGGAAAAGATAAAAACAGAGATACATGAAGATAAAAACAGAGATACACACACACACACACACACACACACACACACACACACAAACAGAGATACAGAAGGAGAATGCCATTTGATGACACCAGCAAAGAATAGAGTGATACAGATACAAGAGCAAATACCAAGGACTGACAGCCAGCACCAGAAGCTAGCAATAAGCAAGGAAGGATTCTACCTAGTGTTCCAGAGGAAGCAAGTCTCTGCTGATACTTTGATTTTAAGACCTTTAGCCTCGAGAAGTATTAGAATATTTCTTCTGTTGTTTTATGTCACTCAGTTTCTAATACTTTATTACAGCAGCACTAGGAAACTAGTAGAAATGAGTAGTAAAATTATCATGTATTCACCACTGTTCTACTGTTCATAAAGAGAAAGTAAGGGATAGAATAATTTCAAAAGAAAATAAAAAGAGCTAGGGGTGTTAGTGGCGATTATAATGAAAATGACATTTGAAGCTACTACTTATTGAGCATGTACTCTGTGGCAGGCACTATACTTCAAATTCTTTATATACCTTATATATATACTTTATACATAAGTGTATGTACTTATGTATAAAGTATAGACTTTATACTTCATATTCTCTTAACACTCAAAGCAACTCTGTTAAGACAGTACCATTAATTCTGTTTTACAGATGTGAAAATTGATTATCTGAGATCTAAAGAATTTTTCTAACAAAAATAAAAGTTAATGCTGATATCTGAAACCAGGCCCACAGCGCTAACAAGATTTTTAAGAGGGAAGAGCTCCTCCTTTTTGAAAGCAAAAGAGAAAGAATAATAAAAAACAGAAAAAGTGAACAAGAGGAAATGTCTGAAAGTCCATAGGCAAAGGGTTATATACACAGCTTAAGTATTAGGTTGGTACAGAAGAAATTGCGGCTTTGGACCATGAATTTTAAATCATTATAACTAAGCTCAAACACATCTTTATTAATGAAAACAGGAACAACACATTTTTGCTAATGAGAAAAAAGTTTGTTTATTCCTGTAGCATAAAAATCCGTGCTTCAGGATTCAACTAGCTCTTGGAAAGCATTTTCTGCCTCCTGGTGGTCGTGGAAGCATTTTCCCTATAAAAAGTTGTTGAAATGCTTGAAGAAGTGGTAGTCGGTTGGTGAAAGGTCAGGTGAATATGGTGCATGAGGCAAAACTACATAGTCCAAATTGCTCAACTTTTGAAGCATTGGTTGTGCAACATGGGGTCGGGCATTGTCATGGCAAAGAATTGGGCCCGTTATGTTGAATCCTTTCTGGATTCAGAAAGCTGTAGAGGATCAAATGGGCTGCAGACCTCCAAACAGTGACTAAGATCTTTTTACTGTGTAAGGTTGGTTTGGGGAAGTGCTTTGAAGCCTCTTCTCAGTCCCACCACTGAACTGGTTGTCACCAGCTGTCACATAAAATTCACTTTTCATTGCATGTCACAATCCAATCAAGAAATAGCTCATTGTTGTTGTGCAGAATAAGAGAAGAGAACACTTCAGGATGATGATTTTTTTTTATTTTTGGTCAGTTCACAAGGCACCCACTTATCAAACTTTTTCACGTTTCCAATTTGCTTCAAATGCTGAATGATTGTAGAATGGTTGATGCTGAATTCTTAGGCAATTTCTTGTGTAGATGTAAGAGGATCAGCTATGATGATAGGTCTCAATTGGTTATTGTCAATTTCCAATGGCTGGCCACTGTACTCCTCATCTTCAAGGCTCTTATCTTCTTTGCAAAACTTCTTGAATCACCACTGCACTGTATGTTTGTTAGCAATTCCTGGGTTAAATGCAATGCTGATGTTGTGAGTTGTGTCTGCTGCTTTATGACCCATTTTGACTCGAATTAAAAAAAATCGCTCCAATTTGCTTTTTGTCTAACATCATTTCTATATTCTAAAATAAATATAAAATAAATAGCAAGCAATAAGTCATTAGCAAGAAAACATGAAGTGAGAAATATGCATTAAAATGATGTATAACAAAAATAAATAAATAAAATTATGTATAACATAATCACATTTATTTAAGAACATATTCCAATATCAAATGGCAAATTTCAACAATTCAAAGCCACAATTACTTTTGTACAAACTTAACAATATGATGAAAAGTCATGATAATAAAACATCAACAGAACAAAATGCAGATATTTTGAGGTATCCCTCTTCACAGTATCTTCCCCTTCCATTTTACTTAACCACTTATAGACATGTTCAAATTTCATCTTGATAAAACCATTCCTGAAGACTCAAGCTCATGTTGATCCTTCACCTGATTTTTTTCACACCCCTATGAACTAAATCAACAATACTTAGCACAGTAGTGAGCATATAGCAGATATTAAATAAATACTTGTTGACTGATATTTGACATAATATTGTTTTAAAGAACAAGTCCACCACGGTCCACCAAAAAACCCACAAAGGAATCCAGCTAAGGTTAAACAGAATTAGGATTTACATTTTCTTCGTTTGACAATATTGTAACATTTCTTTAAATTCATGCAGTTTTAGGCATATATGTACTAATGTCAAAAAGAGTGAAATAAAAAATTTATTTCAAAAAAGAAATAAAAGGTATCTAGATCAGAAAAGAAGCAGTAAAGCTCTCACTGTCTGCAGATGACATTATACTATACATAGAAAATCCTAAAGATACTATCAGAAAATTACTAGAGCTAACCAGTGAATTCAGCAAAATCACAGGATACAAAATCAATACATAGAAATCACTTGCATTCCTATATACTAACAATGAAAAATCAGAAATAAAAATTAAGGAATTCACCATTGCAACAAAAACATATAAAATATCTAGGAATAAACCTATCTAAGGAGGCAAAAATAACTGTATACAGAAAATTATAAGACACTGGTGAAAGAAATCAAAGACAACATAAACAGATGGAGAGATATTCCATGTTCCTGGGTAGGAAGAATCAATATTGTGAAAATGACCATACTACCAAATGCAGTCTACAGATTCAATGCAATCCCTATCAAATTACCAATGGCATCTTTACATAACTAGAACAAAAAATTTCACATTTCATATGGAAACACAACCCCAAATGGCCAAAGCAGCCTTGAGAAAGAAGAATGGAGCTGGAGGAATCAACCTTCCTGACTTCAGACTATACTACAAAGCTACAGTCATCAAGACAGTATGGTACTGGCACAAAAACAGAAACATAGGCCAATGGAACAAGATAGAAAGACCAGAAATAAACCCATGCACCTATGGGCACCTTAATTTTGACAAAGGAGGCAAGAATATACTTTTGTATATATTTGTATATTTTGTATATATTTTGTCAAAAATATATTTTTGACAATGGGGCAAAGATAGCCTCTTCAAAAGTGGTGCTGGGAAAACTGTACAGCTACATGTAAAAGAATGAAGTTAGAACACTTCCTAACATCATACAGAAAGGTAAACTCAAAATGGATTAAAGACCTAAATGTAAGACCGGAAACTATAAAACTCCTAGAGGGAAACATAGGCAGAACACTTGATGACATAAATCAAAGCAAGATCCTCTATGACTCACCTCTGAGAGTAATGGAAATAAAAACAAAAGTAAACAAGTGGGATTTGGTTATACTTAAAAGCTTTTGCACAGCAAAGGAAACTATAAGCAAGGTGCAAAGACAACCCACAGAATGGGAGAAAATAATAGCAAATGAAACAACTGACAAAGGATTAATTTCCAAAATACACAAGCAGCTCATACAACTCAACACCAGAAAAACAAGCAACCCAATAAAAAAGTGGGGAAAAGACCTAAACAGACATTTCTCTAAAGAAGACATACAGATGGCTAACAAACACATGGAAAGATGCTCAATATCACTCATTATTAAGAGAAATGCAAATCAAAACTACAATGAAATATCATCTCACATTGATCAGAATGGCCATCATCAAAAAGTCTACAAACAGTAAGTGCTGGAGAGGGTATAGAGAAAAGGGAACCCTCTGGAGAAAAGAGGGTTCCCTTTTCTCCAAACCCTCTTGCACTGTTGGTAGGAATGTAAATTGATACAGCCACTATGGAAGATGGTATGGAAATTCCTTAAAAAACTAGGAATAAAACTATCACATGACCCAGGATTTCGACCCCCAGGCATATACCCTGAGGAAACCAAAACTGAAAAAGACACATGTACCCCAATGTTCACTGCAGCACTATTTACAATAGCTAGAACATGGAAGCAACCTAGATATCCATTGACAGATGAATGGATAAAGAAGTTGTGGTACATATACACAATGGAATATTACTCAGTCATGAAAAGGAACACTTTTGAGTTAGTTCTAATGAGGTGGATGCACCTAGAGCCTATTTACAGAGTGAAGTAAGTCAGAAAGAGAAAGATAAATATCATATACTAACGCATATACAGAATCTAGAAAGATGGTACCGAAGAATTTATTTGCAGGGCAGCAATGGAGAAACAGACTTATGGACACAGGGGGAGGGGAGGAGAGGGTGAGATGTATGGAGAGAGTAACATGGACACTTATATTACCATATGCAAAACAGATAGCCAATGGGAATTTGCTGTATGTCTCAGGAAACTCAAACAGGGACTCTGTATCAACCTAGAGGGATGGGATGGGGAGGGAGATGGGAGGTTCAAGAGGGAGGGGACATATGTATACTTATGGCTGATTCATGTTGAGGTTTGACAGAAAATAGCAAAATTCTGTAAAGCAATTATCCTTCAATTAAAAAATAAATTAATTAAAAAAAAAACAAGTCCCCCGGCCTCCCCCAAAAAAACCTCACAAAGGAAATCTAGTTAAACAGAATTAGGATTTACTTTTTCTTCATTTGAGAATATTGTACATTTCTTTAAATTCATGTAATTTTAGGCATATATATACTAATGCCAAAGAAGAGTGGCATCAATACAAATACAAAAAGCAAGGTTATACCTTACACCTTTCTGTGGAAACTGAATCTGCCAATGAAATAAGACCCAACTCTCTTTTACACACCCTAAAAAAAAGATGGTGATGAATTTGAGAACTGGCTATATTAACACTAAATGCAGTCCTTATTTCTTGAAGCATATTCTTATTGCCATAGAGATAAAAGAAAATAAAAATTATGTGTATCCACATATAGACAACTGGACAGAGAAAATCATCTTAATATTTTTAAGCAAATTATTTTTTCAATAACAAACTTTCAAAAGAAGGATTACAAAATATTCATGTTTATTTCTTTTGCAAGGTAGGTGACAGCAATCTTGTCAATGTACAATTGTTACTAGCCCTATCATCATGATAGCTACCTGAACACATAGGAAATCAAGAAAGGCAGGCCAGATTTGATAGACAGTGGGAAGGCAGTTGGCAGAAAAAGAGTATATTGTTCAACAAATAGATACTCCACCTTTTGTATAAATAAATGAAAAATTAAAATAAGATAATTTTAAATTATTAAACTAGCAAAAATGCAAACGATGGATTGATAATGCATGCTGTTAAAGAATATACAGGGAAATACACACTTGCACACATTGGGATTAGGAGTATAAAATGAAACAAGCTTTTCAGAAGGCAATTTGGCAATGTCACAACATTTTAGAAGTTTGTAATTTTTTACCCAATGTGAGAAATTTATCTTAAGATATACTCATAGTAACTCAGCAAAAAATGTATATTTTTACTACAACATTGTTTTAGAATCTAAAAAACTATGAAAAACCTAGTCATCTACAAGGCTGAGCTATATATAATCATACAATGTAGTACAGTGCAGTAATTTCAAATAATGAGGGAGATATCTTAAGAGCTGATGTGAACAGACATTTGAGAGAGAATGTTAGATTAAAAAAAAGCTGCAGACAGCATATCCAGTGTACACCCAACTTGAGATTTTTCTCAGCAGTAAAACAAAGATAGGATTATAGGATTATTGTGAAGGTAAAATGACAATGCTGGTGACACATATAAAGAGTTCAAAAAAGCACATAATAAGCACTCAGCAAATATAAGAGAAACTCTTTCTAGAAAGAAAAGAAAAAGGCATTTTTACATTCATCTTATTTAATATTTTATAACAAATATGTTTGTGAACTTTAAAATGCTTTAGATAAATAATAAAGCAAATGTAAGCTTTTACATCTTTAACGAACTGACCTCCCCTTCTTCATTTGTTTTTAGTCTCTTGTTCACATGTTTTTAAATTACCATTAGATTTTGTGTGCCTCAGCAGGCACCCTGATTTTTGTACAGGTAGGTACCCAATAACTGAATCTGCCATGATGTACTAAGTTGCTTCAGTCATGTCCTGACTCTTTGAGACCCTTTGGACTGCAGCCTGCCAGCCTCCTCTGTCCATGGGTTCTCCAGGCAAAAACACTGGAGTGGGTTTCCATGCCAACTGAATCTACTTTTTTACTAAACTAGGATAGTTCAAGTCCTGAATGGGAAAAAAATATATTATACTCCTGTTAGTAAACTACTAATATATACCATTAATACACTGAATGTATTACCTTTTGTAATTGAGTTACAAGTGAATTACCTTTTGTAGCTGAGTAATATGAAAACTTTTACTTCATTTTATACTTACAGATTCCAAGCTCTCTTTTTTCATATTCAGTGAATCTAGCTGTTGCTGAAGTGTATCTAATTCCTAAGAAGGGGAAAAAAGCACATATATATGCAAATTACATTAAGAATAATTTATTTATCAACATTTCAAATATATGTGTTGAAGTAACTTTTGTAAACATTTTCAGCCCATATCTTATAATTTGACTAGAATTTGTTAACATTCATTATTTCTATTTTGCCAATTTATTTCATCATTATTAAAAACCTTACCATGATCTACCTTTTAAATGCTTCATGAATTTTTAACAAGGGAGCCAGAACTTTTCAGTGAATCATCACTGTGTTCTGAGAATATCAAATATCAGAAGACTTTAAATTAATGATGTTACTGTTTAAAGTTATAATTTTTATTTGACTTTTTAACCATGTTTCCATATTTTTTGACCATTTTATCTTAAGGCCAAGACCTATAGCAATTTACATGGCTCACTCTTAGGGATAAGACCCTTCAACTGTTTACCATTGACTCTTGAACATAACAGGTTTGAACTGCATGGGTCCACTGACATTCAGATTTTTTTTCAAGAAATATGTACTACTCAGTCCAAAGATGGTTGAATCCGTGGATGTGAAACCTCAGACACTGAGGGCAAACTATACGTTATACACAGGTTTTAAACTGCACAGGGGTTGCCGTGCCTAATACCCAAGTTGTTCAAGGGCCAACTAGACCCATTCAAAAACCCCTGTGCAATATTAGCTATACTTTGATACTATTTCAGCATTTTTATAACACTCTTTCATCAATGTTTTACCATGTTTCATAAATTGTGTCTGAAATAAAAAGTTAAATTGTCAATAAAGGATTATCTGAGAAACCAAAACTACATTCATTGGTATTTGTGGGGACGAATTCTCTTTTAATTGCTTGCTTAAGGAAAATCTGGGCATGAAAGGGCAATAATACCTTGCAAATCTGAGTCACCATTACGTCTGAATGCTGAGAGCAGTCTCAGTAACCCCTCAGCGGGCATCCAAGCTGCTTACCATAATTAGGGGACAACAGCTGTTCAAAATGAGGACATAGCAAGTAAAAGGTGTTTATTAGGAAGCAAGGAAAGGAAAGAAAGTAAATATCCATATGGCTCTGTTGTATATGGCCTTTTAATGTTTTCATTAAAAGCTCATTAAAAAACAAGTGCTTCATGTATTGATATCTTTATGACCTGCAAAAATGAATGATGCATAGAACTGAATAATATAGTAAAAGTTGTCATTATACAACATAAGAAAACAAAGTTTTCTAGATGAGTGTTTCCCAAATTTAAAGGTTTGTATGAATCATCTTGTTAAAATAAAGACTCTGATCAGTAGGTGTAGTCAAGCTCTCAGGGGATGCCAATCCTGCCCACTTTCAGAACATATTTTCAGTAGTAAGATTGCTGTAGCCAGGCACAGAGTAGTAGCTAGTATTACCTGCAATAATTTCTCATTTGTGGTTTTCATTTCTATATACTTGACTTGTTTTTCAGGAGACATATTTTTGATTATACCCTCTGCTGCTTGTTTTTCCTGTTCAATTTCTTCTTCTACACTTCTAATTTGTTTTTCCTTCCTGAAATCAAAAGTATGCAATATTCCTCTTACTATATTGAAGAGAAAATCAATTAACTTTACTCAGTCTCAATTACATAGGACACTTATAAGTTATTCAACCGCAGTTTGTGACAACTCCTTTGCTGGTGGTGTTTAGTTGCATAGTTGTGTCTGACTCTTTTGCAATGCCATGGATTGCAGCCTGCCAGACTCCTCTGTCCATGGGATTTCCCAGACAAGAATACCAGGGTTGCCATTATCTTCCTCTGGGGATCTTCTCAACCCAGGGATTGAACCCGTGTCTCCTGCACTGCAAGAAGACAAGACTCTTCATCACCGAGCCACCAGAGAAGTGCACACAGATGAACACAGAAATCTGGCCCCATCAACACAGACTTTTTTAGCATCCTTCTCTTCTCAATCCCCAAATCCTTCTATTTTCTTATTCTCCACTCTACTTTCTTGTAAGAAAATACAAAATTTATCACAGAAAATCCTTAATGTCTTATCTATCAGAATGCATTTGTACTTTTTGTTATCATATCCTCAAGGTTAACAAGAAAGTTAAATTTTAAAACAGTGGTTTTCAAGTATCTTTTAGCTATAGAATTCTTTGATATCTTTGAAATCTTCTATGGAAGTTTACCAAATCATTTAAAAGTAACACAGCTCTGATTATACTGCAGAGTAAGAAAATCAACAGTGCAATCTGATTCATGGCTTTAGATGAATATATTTTCTTTAAATTCTTCTTTATCTACTGCTTTAATTAAAATTGGTATTTCAAAATTATCAACTGTTCTTTAACACTGTAAAATAACCAGCTAACTTCCTTGAGAATACAATAGGAACATCACAAGCCTAATTATATAAGTAGTAGTATGATATTAATTACAAACAATAACCATCTTTATCAAATAATCACAAAAAGTACCAGTGATGTGCACTTACTACCTATGCAAGATCAATTATACATAGGGTAGAGAAAAATTCTGAAAAAAAATAGGGGTAGGATGCTACTTATCATCTAAATACTTCAAGATTACATATAAAAAGCTTACTTGAAAATAAATTGTTTCAATATCATAAATTCCTACTTTAAGTTTAAAATATAATTATTCTATTCAATCTCTTTCAAATACAAATATAAACTTTAACAGTTTTCACAATCACTAGCTAAGCCTCATAGATCCAAATATCTATCCTCCACACACTTTACACACTCATGCCCTACTGCCATAATAAAATAATCTAAACTCAGAAATTCTCCTACAGACAGAATCTCATAATAACCAAATAAAAGATAACCATAATGAAACAGACAACCTGGAATTTCTATTTATTTTTGTCTCATGCTAAACAGAAGTAATGTCTTCACTTTGAACCTCAATTACTGTAGCATAATAAATGTGTCTGCTGCTCCTACAATTTACATGGGTATACCTCAGATATGCAGATGACACCACCCTTATGGCACAAAGTGAAGAAGAACTAAAGAGCCTCTTGATGAGAGTGAAAGAGGAGAGTGAAAAAGGTGGCTCAAAGCTCAACATTCAGAAAACTAAGATCATGGCATATGGTCCCATCACTTCATGGCAAATAGATGGGGGAACAGTGTATGCAGTGTCAGACTTTATTTTTTTGGGCTCCAAAATCACTCAGATGGTGATTGCAGCCATGAAATTAAAAGACACTTACTCCTTGGAAGGAAAGTTATGACCAACCTAGATAGTATATTAAAAAGAAGAAACATTACTTTGCCAACAAAGGTCCATCTAGTCAAGGCTATGGTTTTTCCAGTGGTCACGTATGGATGTGAGAGTTGGACTGTGAAGAAAGCTGAGTGCCGAAAAATTGATGCTTTTGAACTGTGGTGTTGGAGAAGACTCTTGAGAGTCCCTTGGACTGCAGGGAGATCCAACCAGTTCATCCTAAAGGAGATCAGTCCTGGGTGTTCATTGGAAGGACTGATGCTGAAGCTGAAACTCCAATACTTTGGCCACCTCATGCAAAGAGTTGACTCACTGAAAAAAGACCCTGATCCTGGGAGGGATTGGGGGCAGGGGGAGAAGGGGATGACAGAGGATGAGATGGCTGAATGGCATCACTGATTCGATGGACATGAGTTTCAGTAAGCTCCGGGAGTTGGTGATGGACAGGAAGGCCCAGCGTGCTGCGATTCATGGGGTCGCAAAGAGTCGGACATGACTGAGCGACTGAACTGAACTGAACTGATGCACTCACAGAAATTTCAAACATAAAAGAACATCTATTTCAATCTCTTTGTTTCACAGATTAGGGATACTGAGTTAAATCTGTTAGAACTAACTCATTCTGAACCCCATGATTACTTACTACCAACAGTGAATTTTAACTATGATTTTATCTGATAGATCTACTACAATTAGATGGGAACAAATGTAAAGTATTCCATTTTACACAGGGGAAGTTACACAAGGAAGCACAAGGAAGGTACGGATCCTTTGAGGGCCACATAATGGCCAAGGGGTGGGACTTTTGATGCTTTGAGCAGTCTGCTCCTGTTATAACTTGGCAGTAAAACCACCAATGATGGTGTCATAAAATGAGTAAACAACAAAGGTGAAGCTCACTGGAATACAAAACTTCGTGCAATCTTTTCAACCTGAGTCTTTCAAAATATAAAATACCTTTAGGACTAACATTTAAATAACTTTAGCAATGCATTTTTCAAATTATGCATTCTCAATATTATATACTTTAACTCACAAGGTAAATTTGTTAATATTTTAATTTCTTAAGAGAAATTAAGAAACACAAAGATTAAGCTAAAGCCACCTTACTTGTTATACTAAAAAAGTCAAAGATGACTTTAAGAAATTATTCTTAGAGTCAATCTTTTGCTAAGGAAGTCTAGCTTGTTTTTTTCTTCCACCTGTTCAGTGAGTACAAAGGTTAAGACAAAGTGAAACAAACCACATGACATGCTTTTTTTTTTTAATGGTGTAGAAGAAAGACAGCAGATTCCTTACACACCAGTCTCAGAGACAAAAGAAAAAAGGTAAGATCCTATATATTTATAGGTTTGGTGATGTTGAATTTTTAAAAATCATATTTAAGCTTGTTAAGTCTACATAAAAATCTTTATTTTTAATAAATGATGAAAGAGCAGAAAATATAATTGTATATTCATGACAGCTATCTTAGAAATACAAACCTGGGCACGGCCAAAATATTTTTTCCAAATAGAGTAATAACATAAAGCCAAGTAATTTGGGGGGAGGAAGATTTCATCTAGCCAAATCAAATTTATAAGATCTTTTGATTTTGAAATATATTCATCACAGAGCAATCGGAAGTAACATTAACCTAAAAACAAATTTATAAGATGAAAAAAGACTGGATAATAGGTGACAATTGTTAAAACTGGGTGACGATTCTTTTCCTGAGAAGTTTTTTCCTTGAAATTTTCCATTATAAAACTTTTTAAATTTGAAAAAAAAATAGAAAGCTAGTTCTATGAAATTACAAGAGAAAAGTTAACTGTGAGTTATTAATACCTTACTATAAATACATTGAATTCTGGTATAAATACCTAAAATATTTAATGGAAAAACTGTATTACAGTATACACACTTTATTTAACCAAGCCAAAATAACAGTGGTATCTTTTTATTTCAGAGAATATAATAGTCATATAAAGTACATGATCAAAAACTCAGAAATTCACACTTGAAACTGTGCTAAGAAGAACACTGTTTCTTTCTCAATATCTACCATTTCCTTTTGTGTAAATCTCTTTTCCTATAATATAGGGTGTAGGCTATATAAAAGAAAATTTAATCTTGTAAAACAATTTTTTAAAAAACCTGATATTCCATTTGTTCTCTATTTTTTAATCACTAAACTCAAACCAAAATATCATTTCAAAATAAATTTCTAATTGAGAAAAAAATCTCAAGTGAGAAAAAAGCAGTAATAACTGTTTCCTTTTAAATCAACTTTTTAAATAGGGTAAACTGACTCAAGAATAATTTCTGCTATCAGCTATTTATTTCATCAATTTGATTTCGTCAAGATAGCCACTGTGTCTGTTTAAGGATGTGTTAGCAAATGTTTCTGTCTAAGGATGTGTCTATGTAGTGTTGTGACAGTCAACATCAATCCCCTTTATCAATCTTTTCCCTCTCAAAAGATGTACAAATACAAGAAAAGCCCCATGGCTAGTGCGGCTCAATCAATGCATTTCATAGCTTTAGACCTACTAATGCTTTAGATTTTTTGACTGTTTTCTTGAACAAAATCTACCTTAAGCTCTGAGTATGTGTCTTTTCTAACTCTAAAATTTATCAAATATAAATTTAAAAAGATTCCTTTTCTAACCCTTATCATTTTATCCATTTAAGCATAATAGTATAAAGCAACTGATAAATATAATAAATACATGACAATCCTCTGTCTCCATTTCCACAGTCTCACAATCCTACCTGACCTCCAATACCTTTTCTAGCTGTTTCTATTTCGTGTCAACCCTTTTCTTTATAGATTATCTGCTTCCTTTATTCATCCTTATCCTATTTATCTCTTTAAAAAAAAAAAGGAACTTCTCCCTTACCTCTATATTACTCACAAGGGCATCCTACAAAAACATCAGTAAGAATTTCACTACACCACTGAGAAATACCAAAACAAACCACTGAGGAGGTTGCACACTAACTCCGAGAGATCACTAAACATGGGTACATACTTTTTATACATGATTCAGGGATCCCCTTTTGTGGGCAGTGGTCTGGCATAAGTGATAGCTTGAAATCATTTCTGGCTCTAAAAGGGATGTTATTATGATCTACATTCAAATTGCAAAATCGAGGAGAACAGTGGCTTTCTCTTATAATTTTGATTTAGCCATGGAAAGAAAGAAATTGGAAAGGGAATTAACATAAACGGATCAGTGAGGAAGGCAATGAGGAAGCTAATTAGAATACACCAGTATTGACATAACAATAAATTCCTCATCGCCAGTGTGGCAACACACTTTAGTAACTTGAAATGAATCTTGTTATCAGTAGTTTCTTACTCCCTGCTTTGAAGGAACAAACTGCCCTAAAAAATCGTAAGCAACTTATTATACTAAGTGCTATAAGAAGGCTCAAAAGACTAAATTTTTAAAAATCACTAAGGATGATAATAACATATTAATATCCTTTCAAACAGCTCATTTGCAGCAGTTTCTTTTTAATATTAATTAACTAATAGATAATTTTAAAATTAATTTTTATTGGAGTATAGTTGCTTTATGCAGAAGTATCTAACATTGGTTTTAAGAAAACAAATAAAAATAAGAAACACTAAGGTCATGAATAAAATGGCTAAATGGAAAGTATTTAGTGAGAAGAATTACTGAAATAAATGACAATTCCTAGTTAGGGCATGTTGAATGTACCCACTAACATTGACTCCTGTTCAAAAACCTACTAAAATGAAAATAAAAGGTAATATGAAGTACAGAAACTTATAATGACAAAATGAATAGCAATAAAATCTAGAAACTAGAAAGCTAAAAGTTAAGTGGAAACTGACTAGGAAACCAAAATTTTCTGAAGCCAGCAGTGGGGAAAGCTGAGAAGCTACTTGTTTTATGCTGCAGAACCCCTAGATGGCTCAGAGATTGGCAGCACCAGGAATTCTGGAAGTAGAAAAGGAGAGGCTGAAACAGCTGAAAGTCTTTCTCCCAGACACTGCCCAGTCAGGTAAAGTCCCCCTACTACCTAAGCAGAAAAATGAGGTTTTTTTTTTTATGCTGGGGAGAACAAAACTAATGGAATCTGGGCATAAGTGACTGCAGGGATGTTATGTCAAAAGCAGGGAAAATAACATTAAATACTAATTACTGAGCTAAACCCAACTTTTTCACCACTCAGTTCTCAGAACGCTGGCCACTTGGTGTCACCTTTTCAGGCAGTATATCAGAAAAGTCATTTTGAGGAATCTAAGCAGCCCAAAAGGAACAATCTAAAGATAATGACGTTAGGGATGCCCCAAGAAAACAGCCTATTAAGGTCACTCTATAGTAAGGTCTAAAGTTGGGTAAGAGCTGGGAATTCTCTGGAGGTCAAGCAGTTAGGACTCTGCCCTTCTACACGAGGGGGCATAGTGTTCAATCCCTGGTCAGGGGGCCAAAGAACCAAAACACAAAACAGGAGCAATACTGCAACAAATCCAGTAAGACTTTAAAAATGGTCCACATCAAGAAAATATTTTTTTAAAAAAGAACCATATAAATGCAGTTTCCAATCAGTTTTTTCATTTCCCATTCTTATATGCAAGTCCTAAACCAAATATTAACAGATATGGGAAGTTTAAAAGAAATCCTCTAATAAAAAGGATACTTATCAAAAGAAACTGGAAAAACATGACCTTAAGACACAAAGGCTTTTCAAGGGGAAAAAAACCAAGAGATACAACAAGAAGAAACAAGAAAATATATTCCTATGACAGTATATTACAAAAGAAATTTTCAGAGAATTAAAAAGAGCTCTGAGAATTAAGAAGATAACAGGAAAAAGAAAACTTTAATAGACGAGTTTGAAGATAAAGTTCCAGACAGCAGAGCAAAAACACAGAGATGAAATGCAGATGAATAAACATAAAAGATTAGAAAATCATACAAGGAGATCCAATTCCTTTTAGAATTAAAGGAGTTCTAGAATGGGAAATAAGATTTTTTTAAATGGGAAGAAAATTATCAATATCATCAATGAAATAATTCAGAAAGATTCCCACTGTTTTCCGATTGAAACCACCCACCAAGTACCTATTTCATAGACTTTCACAAAATAGACTCTCACAAAGGATCATGAAATTTCAGAATAGCCAGATTAAGGCTATATTGTACAGCACAGAGAATACAGCCAATGTTTTAATAATAACTATCAGTGCAGTATAACCTTTAAAAATTCTGAACACTATACAATATACCTCTAACTTCTATAATATTGTTCAGCAACATACTTCAGAAAAACAGCTTTGGGTTTAAGAAGTGGCAAGTTACGTAAAAGGATAAAGAATTAGAATGGCACAGCATCTCATTTCTTAACAGTAATACAGTCATGGTTGGTTGAATCCACAGAAGTAAAACCTGTGAATACAAAATCAGGCCCTTTGTAATGTATATTCATTACATTACACCATTTTATATAAGGAATTTGAACATCTACAGATGTGGTATCTGCGGGGGCTTCCAGAAACCAATCCCCTGCAGATACCAAGGGATGACTGTACTAGAAATCCAAAGACAACGGAGCAATGCCATCAACCATTTGAGGGAAAATCATTTCCTACTTAGAATTCTAAGAATTCTAAGAAATCCTACTTAAAATTTCTAGCCAAAATACCTTTCAAGGTCTAAAAAGTATTTCCTCCTATGGACCTTCTCAGGAAGCTACTGCAGGAAACTCCATGGGAAAAAAGGCAGTAATCCAAGACAAGGCATTCTAGAAAACAGAAATCCAGTAACAAGGGCAAAAGAGAATCTCTACAATGAAGATAGGAGGAGAGTGGAGGTCAACAACTCCATAGAGGGCCTAGTGATCAGCTCATCCATATCAGAGCATGGCAGCAGGCTCTAGGAAAGACTTTTTCAAGCAAATGAAATAGATTAAAATATCTAATATACATAAACTATTGAGAGATTTGCTAAGAGTGTTTGTGTATAAATTAAAGGGGGTAAAAACCCTAAGCACAGGAAAAGAAAACAAACACAATTAACTAAAGTAAAAAGTATGCAGGAACAGAATAATAATCCTGTTAACAGGGCTCAGTCTTTGACAGTTTTATACATTTCTGAAGTATAAACTGAGTTATATAAACTGCAGCTGCTGCTGCTAAGTCGTTTCACAGTCATCTAACCACAATTATAACTGACTATGTTTGGAAAGTGAAGAGACACTAGATATATATTTGATGCATTGAAGATAAGGGAAGTGAAGAGACAGTAGATATATATTTGATGCACTGAAGATGAAGGTAATGAGTTATTTGAAAGAAGCTGAGGACTCTCATCTCCTAAAATGTTAAGTCAAAGGATAATATGAATAGATAATGCCTAAAGTCGAAAAGTCAAGAAGTAGCAATATGAGTATATACTTAAAGATATATTAATATATACATACATAAGTATATATACCCTTCTAGACTTTCTTTTGTGCATATATATTAAAATTTTAAAATGCACAACCACTTCAGTTGTTTTAAAGTTCCTCTCAATAGATCTAGGAACTAAAGAGATATCCTGAAAATTACTGTCTTTCATTCTCTCCAGGAGCATTTCAGTTTCTAAGATCAGAGTGCAGGGAAGGTGAAGGGATCTTTACTTATTTCCTATTTTACATATTTTAAGAAAAAATAGACTTAAAAGGAGTAAAAAGGAAATCAAAATGTCCTCAAAAGACTAATGTTCTAGTCTCCTAACAAGATGTAAATACTCTTTTCTATCAGGTTAGCAGTATGAAAACCATGAGCATCACAATCTTGTTCTGGCTGCTCTCCATGCTATTATTATCAGAAGAAAACCAGACTTCTAAAACAGTAAGTTTTTACAATCAAAGCAGTGAAAATATTTTCAAAGGTACACTATGTGTAAATTTAAATTGTAAAATATTGAAGGCCTTAAAACAAAAAAAAAATCCAACTATCAAAATAAACTCTTTAGTTAGTAGGGTATATTCAAAACATCTGATCTCTGAGCCAGATTGTAAGTGGACAAAAGCAGTTTTTATTTTATAAAAAACTAAGTTCTTTAAAAGCAAAAAATAATATAAAATTTCACTAAGATCAGAGATTAGTTATGACATAAAAACACTTTAAAATGTAGAAAACTTCTTTAAAAACCACATATTTATGAGGGAAATTGTTGTTGTTACATTATTATTATTATTATTACTATCAGGGGACATTTCAACTGCAAAAACAGTCGAAACAAGAACTATTTCTTTGGATCTATATCCACATAGCCTAAGCACTTCTTGTCAGCTGACTTTAACACATGGCTCAATTTCTATTACAAGATATTTTCTTTTAAAATACCAAAGTTTGAGTTGTTAACCCTATACAGTTATATACCGAATATTGTTTTTTAATTATTTAATAATCTTAGATGTAATGTTGGTAGCTCTGTTTTAAAATTACATATTTTTACATTATTTTCTCATTATAAACATCAATCTTACATACTAAAATACTAAATAAATTAACAGATTTACCATTTATTGCCACATATATAAATGGTAATATATCAATATTCTTTCAATAATAATTATTTACTAACTGTTGGAAGATACTTATATGACATCAGAATTGCCTTAATCTTCAACACTCCATCCCAATTTTTAAAAGGAGTATTTGCTTTACCTTTTTACATATTTTAACATCAAAGTCTTAGATAGTAGAATTTTTTCCTAAAAAAATTTCTTTCCAATGTCTAATTGCCTAGATATGAAAATTTGGGAAATTCTATCAATATTTTTCCTTATTAATGCATTTCTAATTTTCTCTTTTTTAGGAAGTCAAATGTAATTCTACTGCAAAGAATTATTCTTTGATTCCAGCAAATATCAACAAAAATGTTACTATACTTGACCTCAGTTATAATCAAATTACTCTAAATATCACAGACACAAGAGTTCTACAGACATATTTTTTACTCAATGAGCTCTATTTGATTGAGAACAAAGTCAATATCCTACTCAATAATTGTTTCAGTAACCTGTCCAATCTAGAAATTTTAAATATTTGTAGAAATTCCATCCACACAATTCAAGAGGGTGCCTTTACAGGATTACATAAACTGAAAAAGTTAAATCTCTGCCAAAACAAAATAGTTCAACTGAATCCTGATACATTTTTGCCTCTTAAAAACCTGATACTATTGAATTTGCATGGCAATTTGATAAGCTATTTTGATGTACCACAACTGTTTCATCTGGAATTCATAATTTTGTATGGAAATCCATGGAACTGCTCCTGTAGTCTACTGAACTTGCAAAACTGGTTGAAGACATCAAATGTGACACTAGGTAAGCATTCATAATTTAAATTAGTTAAAACCAAAATGATTGATTTTGGCTTGTTCCACCCTAGACGTGTCTCTCATTTCAAGTCTTAAAGCAAAGGAAACTATTCCTGTTTAATGGAAACAGGAGAAACACTGAAAAGCAATTGCTGAATACAAGCTCTCCCTCTGCCTCTCCAGAAAAAAAAGAAATAACAGAAGAAGCTTGAACATTCTACATATGTAAGATGAAACTGTCACTCTGTATACTGTTTGCAGTTTCAACACATAAGACTAATTTTCTTTTACTGTTTTTTTTTAATTTATTTTTAATTGGAGGATGATTGCTTTACAATATTGTGTTGGCTTCTGCCATATAACAAGGTGAATCATCCACAAATACACATATGTCCCCTCCCTCCTGAACCTCCCCCTACCCCTCATTCCATCCCACCCCTCTAGGCTGTCACAGACAGCAGGCTGAGCTCCCTGTGCCCATACAGCAGCCTCCCACTGGCTATCTATTTTACATTACTCCTTGGGAGGAAAGTTATGACCAACCTAGACAGCATATTAAAAAGCAAAGACATTACTTTGCCAACAAAGGTCCATCTGGTCAAGGCTATGGTTTTTCCAGTGGNCCATTCATCTGCCAATGGATATCTAACTTGTTTCCTAAATATTGTAATTTTTAAAAGTACTTCTTTTCTAAGGATATCCTGTCAGAGAGTAGGTGGAAGTAGGTACCCTACTTTCTAAACTACATACCATATTCCAGATGCTCACCACAATCTAAATCATAACATCTTTACTTTACTAACACAGACAAACTGAACAATACACAAGAACTGCACTTAAACTGTATCTATAAAATAACTTATTAAACAGAAATAGGCCTCTTTCTTCATTTTGTTGCTAGGCAAATACAATTAGCTTCTTTTTTTTTTTAGCTTCTTTTTTTTTTTTATTTTTTATTTTTTAGCTTCTTTCTTATACTTTTAATGACAGATATGTCAAAAAAGTTCCAGGTGAAAAATTATAAGATGTTTAACCATAATATTAATTAACCATAATAATCTTATTTTCCATAATAAATCTTATTTTTTCTAATCTACTAGAAAATGAGAGCATCACCATGTGTAGTTATCCAGATATCCTGAAGTGCTACAACATCAAAACAGTGCCTTACAAGGCTGAATGCTACTCAAAATTTCCTTCATCTATAACTGAAGACCTTCACATTCATTTTCAGTCCATTTACAATTCAACATTTAATAACTCTTTGAACAACTTGACAAGAAATTCAGGTAATGTATTTGTTTTGAATATTAATATTGCTGAGGATAGCATACTAAATAAACTGAGACAGTTCTCATTTTTCTCATTTTAAATTTCTTGAAACAGTGTAAAAGAACAATTCCTCCACTCAAGAAAAGATTAACAAAATATTGGGTTTCTTAAGTAGGCTCTGCTAGTTATCAGTCAAATGCCATTATGCAAATTATTTAACTTCTCTGAGCCCTGGTATTAACTAGTTACATCACAATACTTAACAAGTATAAATCAATAATGTTTCTGAGTGAATGGATAAACAATGCAAAGACAGGTAGTTATTTTGAAAAAAGGTATTCTTGCACCACAATATGAAATATATTTACTGCAGTTTTAGTAACTTTTGCTTAAGTAAGATCATGTATATTTACTTCTAATACCAATATTGGGGAGTTACTAGGACATGTAATTATGATTATTTTATTTTTGTCAATTTAACAAAATTCCTCTCCCACCCTTTCTTTCTCGTTATTCCATTTAAGAACATGAATCTCATGGAAAAAGCTGGGCTTTTCTTGTCGGTGTTGTCATCACTGTAGTGATGACTTCACTACTCATTTCAGTTGCTATCAAATGTCCAGTATGGTATAATATTCTGCTTAGTTACAATCATCATCGTCTGGAAGAGCATGAAGCAGAAACCTATGAAGATGGTTTTACTGGAAATCCAAGCTCTCCTTCACAGATACCAGACACAAACTCTGAAGAAACTACAGTAATATTTGAACAACTACATTCTTTTGTGGTAGATGATGATGGGTTTATTGAAGACAAATATATAGATACTCACGAATTACGTGAAGAAAATTAATTTCTTTCAATGTCTGATTTTTTAAAAAATGTTACCAGCTCACTCACATTTTAGGCATGGAAATTTTGATCAATGATATACTGAACTATGGCCAGTAGACCATCATATTAATTGCAACACATAAATATCATAAAATTACACTCCTCTCATTGACTTTGTGCAAGTAGGTCCAAATACAGTAACTGCCACTCCTTGGTACCTAACAGTTAAAATACTAGCATTACTATTATCAGCAGTATATATGAGACCCAAAATAATAGTAGGAAAAAAATCTACATTATTCCTTAATTAAAGTGAACAGATTCTCATATTAGCCAGATATTTGATGTAACACCTATTAAAGTTTTACTGATTGGAATCAATAAAGAAATAAAGATTTTGGAATTTTATCATAAGCTGAAGTGAAGAAAAGAGATAGCTTAAACTGACAACACATTAAGATTGATTTTATGCCCACAGAATGAATTCATGAAATTGGAAAATGCTTTTTAAATCTTTTTAAATGCTTCCTGAATTGGCACAACAAATTTCTGAAAATTTAGCAGCAATTTAAAGCACAGGCACAACGTCTGGGCACAATCTCTTTATTTCAGTTATGGAGAAAGATTGTCATCAAAATGACTGTTGCAACTGAATAATACAGTAACTTCCAAAGTGGAAATTATCTATGCATCTTGTTTTAAAAAATACCTATTCTGCTCCTTTGGAGGACATTTTTATTCAAGTGATTCTGTTCTGGAGCTAAGGAATCTTCAGTTGGCCTATGGTTAGTTCTTTGGGATGCTGTAGGCAGAGCAATGTTTCCAAACTTGTTTTCTAGAACATTAACTTCCAGACATTCAGAAGTATTTACAGGATGGAGGATTAAAAGGTAAATGGTCAAAGTAAAAGTTGCTCAGTTGTGTCCAACTCTTTGCGACCCATGGACTATGCTGTCCATAGAACTCTCCAGGCCAGAATACTGAAGTGGGTAGCCGTTCCTTCTCCAGGGGATCTTCCCAACCCAGGGATCGAACCCAGGTCTCCCTCATTGCAGGTGGAAACTACTATAGAATTATGAGAAAATACTGGGTTTAAACAAAGTCAAACAAGCTTCTTCACTATAGGACTTATAGTAAGGAAGACTTCTTTGCTATCCAAGACTTTACTAAGCTAAACTGCTTTCTGCTCTTCAAGAGCATAATATTAAGAATTTGCCAGATTTCCTGACAACAAAACCTTTTCTCTGATGCATAGCTACTAACAGATCATAGCACAATAATAGTCCAAAGAAAACTGGCTTTGAAACTATTACAAGAAAAGTCTAAAGTGAATTATTTGCTAATTCTTTATCATCAACTGGCTACAATCATAATTTTAACAAGTTAACGTAAATAGTAGCACTAAAAACTGTAAAAAAAATTCCATCATTTTTACTTTTCATATGTGGGGTAATTTAGTATACAGTATTTTATCTATATATATTAGAAAAAAATTTCTAAAACACTGAAATATATTTACAGATTAAATAATATGATGTTTTAGATTTTCTTCATTATACAAGGAAGAAAACAGCATCCAGTGGTGTAGATGGAGCAGGGTTGGATAAAAGTTGATGGAGATGGGTGCTTAGGAGTATGCTATTTTATTTTTGTGTATGTTCAAATTTCTCTATAACATAAAGTTTCAAAAATGTGTATAACTGATAGTTGCTTAGAAAAAAGAGACTAAAAATAATGTAGATGTATATTATTTTCTAACAATAGTCATTTTTAAGGTTATATAAATAGTAAATTCAGTTCAAATGTCTACCAAGGAAAATAAAAATTGTTTAGGATGATATACTCTGTGAAATAAAATAACTGACTCATTTATAATGCATATTTGCTTGTATTTATAGGAACATGTTTTCAATAAAGGATATAAATGTTTTAAGTGTAGTATTTCCTAATAGATAACATAAATTATATAAATGTTATAATTTTAAATCTCAATTATAGGAGTTAGATAACTATATAAACATAAGGCATCTTTTTCTACATAACCTATCATTTTACAGAATGTTATTTCCCAATTTAAGAGGCAAATGTTCATATTTTATAAATATAGTAAAAATGAAATAGAACTATGAAAAATAGCAAAGACTACAACAAATCTCTTATATTCAAAAGACTCTTATAATTATGTATATTTTTCAAAGATAAATGATTTTGGCTAATACAAAACTAAAAAAGTATAGACATTAGAAATGGAAGAAAATCATTAGTTCAAGCAGGTGTGCGAAAATGAATTAAAGCCAGATACCATAGTAACATATTGAGCCTATATACTATAACCACCTTATTATAAGTAGGTGTTCCATAATAAAACATAGCGTCCCATGCCACAGTAAATGGTGGCACTAAAGGAGAAGAGAAAGAAAACATAGGTTTTTTATACCTGTTTTCTCAAGGTATGGCATTTCCTGCTCCCTTTAAATGTACAGGATAACACAAGGTATATTCTTGCATTATTAAGATGTCGACCATCCGATTAACACATGAAATAAATCTATCCCCCTTGTATATAAAAAAATAAACTTTATAAAAATAATTTTTATTCAATTTAAAATTCCTCTTAAAGGGTCAGGTGACCCTATCTCACTCAGTCTTAGTTACAAACTACAGATATTAAGTTTCGAAACTGTAACATTTTCAGGAGAAAGTACCATATTTTAAGAACATTTTCCTTAATCAAAGAACCTAATAGACATAGAAATCTACATCATCATTAACTTTATAACCTGTGAGTTATCTTTTCGGATAAAATATCTATAAAACACATACATGTAACGTTTACAAATCTGACCAGTGCATCACATAGGTTTGTACATAAATGCGAAAATAAATGAGGACTAAATGTTCTAATGCTCTCTTGGAGTTGAAGCTTCAATACTTTGGCCACCTGATGTGAAGAACTGACTCACTAGAAAAGACCCTGATGCTGGGAAAGATTGAAGGCAGGAGGGGAAGGAGACGACAGAGGATGAGATGGTTGGATAGCATCACCGACTCGATGGACATGAGTTTGAGCAAGCTCCAGGAGTTGGTGATGGACAGGGAGGCCTGGCGTGCTGCAGTCCATGGGATCGCAAAGAGTCGGACATGACTGAGCGACTGAACTGAACTGAAATGTTCTAAACTATATAAGGTTCTCAATGGGTTATAGTTTATTATATCTTATTTTTTAGACACCTAAGAAAGTATTTTATATGTAGTAAATGATGAATATTTGTTAGCTAGTCTAAAACCAGAGCAACAAAAAGGAAGTTTTCAAGTATGTGTCTGGTTACCATGAATATGGGATTTTCTTTGTAAAAGGGAAGAGACTTTCAGTATATTTGTAATTTAAGATAGCACTTTATAGGAGCATCAAATGATAGACAGGGGAAAGAGATTTCTTTGTTTTTAATGAAAAGAAAACTCTTCCTTTACCTTTCAAATAATTCATCTTTATATTTTAACATCCTATTTTTCATCAAGTATTTACTGTACATGTTGAGGTAATATGACAGTATTTTTGATGTTATAGAATTTTGGTAATTTGGGTTAACTATTATCCTTGCTTTCAGGGAAATTAATATTGATAAATTTATGGAACAAAATGTGTACAGTGTTTGTACAAAATAGTTCATCTTCTGTTTGCGCTGCTTTAGACAATAATTAAGGTCAAAAAGTCAATAAAGAATAATTATGTTAACTACTGATAATGTCTGAATATTTGTGTCCCTCCAAGATTCATATGTTGAAATCCTAACCACCAAAGGTAACGGTGTAAAGACTGGGAGGTGATTAGGTCATGAGGGTAGAGTCCTCATGAATGGGATTAGTAAGTACCCCTTATAAGAGATCCCAAAGAGCTTCCTAGCTCTGTCTATCATGTGATGATATCACAAGAAGGTATGAACCAGTAAGAGGGCTTTCACCAGAACAGGACTATACTGCTGCCTTGATCTTGGACATCCCAGCCTTCAGAACCCTGAGCAATACATTCCTGTTGTTTATAAGTTACCAAGTCTATGATATTTTGTTACAGTGGCCCAAATGGACTAAGGTCACTATATTACTTCCACTTATCTTTGTAGGCATTACTATCACTGCCACATTTACCTTATCATCAAAGTCAAAGTTACTTGGGAGGTTCCTGGGTGGCTCAGTAGTAAAGAATCTGCCTGCCAATGCAGGAGACCTGGGTTCAGTCCCTGATTTGCAAAGATCTCACATACCACAGAGCTAATAAGCCCATGCACCACAACTACTGACCCTGTGCTCTAGAGCCCAAGAGCAACAATTACTGAGCCCAAGAGCCACGACTCCTGAAGCCTGCATACCATAGAGCCTGTGTTCCCCAATAAGAGAAGCCACCACATGAGAAGCACAGCTAGAGAGCAGCCCCCATTTGTGCAACTGGACAAAAGTTCACACAGCAACAAAGACTCAGCACAGCCCAAAATAAATACAATTATTGAAAAAAAAGATTTAAAAACCAAAGTTACTTGGCGTTTGGTCTTTGACTAGGTTATATATATAAAGATGCACATACAATCTACATTTATAAATTAGATTACTAATGTAACAATTAATTATCAATTAGTGAGTAATAAAATAATATAAATAGCCCATGGAATAATAAAGTGCATTTTATTAGATTGGGGCTTAAATCCCATAATTTGAATTAGTTAAGAAGTTCAAGTTAAAATTGCAAATGGTAGAGATGTTCTTATCCACCTTAGATTTAAAACTCAGAGGTAGAAATTTTATCTAAATGAAGACAACAGATACATTAACAATGCAGTCTGTATTGCAAATATTCAACTTTTTAAAATTAAAAAATGCAACAGGGAAAAACAATGAAGAAAACTATAAAGAAATAAATAGTTCAGAAGTTAAACTACTTATACAGGTCACTTATAAATCTGTTTGATTTCTAAATGGATTGTACTCACGCTTGTCTTTCGGTAAATATAATATCCATACTTTGTGTTTCTCGATCATTTTGAGCTTTAAGCTGAAAAAAGAATTAACTGAAAGTTAGTGATAAAAAATTACCATTAAGCCAAACTATCTCTTTAAAGGTCATTCTGATTATGAATCAATTAGAGATTATAAAAATAATCCTAATGCCACAGGCAAAGTTTTAAAAAATGCATATGCTTTACTTAACAAACCACTACCAATACCAAACACAAAGAAACACTCTTTTTCACAGGCATTATAATCTCACACCAAATATATTGTTTACTGACTGTCAAGTAATCTAATGTAAACTTTACTTATGTAAACAGAATTTCAAGATTTCATTAAGTGTTCAATAGTTGATTAGTAATATGTCAAATCTAGACCCAACACAAGTTTTATTCTTAAATCATTCAGAATTTTACCTGAGTACTCCTATTTGACTCAACCTGCACAAAGTCAGTCTAGACTTTGGACCTATCCCTCATAACTCAAAAAGCATTAAGTTTTCACTTTTTATATTTGGCATTAAAAATACAGATTTTAAATTGAGAATTCTCTGTGTTTTAAAGTTAAGAAGTTATATGACCCAGCAATCCCACTCCTGGGCATACACACCGAGGAAACCAGATCTGAAAGAGACAAGTGCACCCCAATATTCATCGCAGCACTGTTTACAATTGCCAGGACATGGAAGCAACCTAGAGGCCCATCAGCAGACAAATGGATAAGGAAGCTATGGTACATATACACAATGGAATATTACTCAGCCATTAAAAAGAATTCATTTGATTCAGTTCTAATGAGATAGATGAAACTGGAGCCCATTATACAGAGTGAAGTAAGCCAGAAAGGTAAAGACCAATACAGTATACTAACGCATATGTATGGAATTTTAAAAGATGGTAACGATAAACCTATATGCAAAACAGAAAAAGGGACACAGATGTACAGAACAGACTTTGGGACTCTGTGGGAGAAGGCGAGGGTGGGATGTTCTGAGAGAACAGCATTGAAACAAGTACACTATCAAGGGTGAAACAGATCACCAGCCCAGGTTGGATGCATAAGACAAGTGCTCAGGGCTGATGCACTGGCAAGACCCAGAGGAATGGGATGGGGAGGGAGGTGGGAGGGGGGATCAGGATGGGGAACACATGTAAATCCATGGCTGATTCATGTCAATGTATGGCAAAAACCACTACAATACTGTAAAGTAATTAGCCTCCAACTAATAAAAATAAATGAAAAAAATAATCAAGAACTTCACTACATTATTATTGCTTTTGTGCTTATTTGCTCAGTTGTGTCCAACTCTGTGATCCCATGGACTGTGGCCCACCACGCTACGCTGTCCATGGGGACTCGCCAGGGAAGAATACTAGAGTGGATTGCCATGCCCTCCTCCAGGGGATCTTCCCAACCCAGGGATTGAACCCAGGTCTCCCACATCGCTGGCGGGTTCTTTACCAGCTGAGTTGCCAGGGAAGCCCCAAAATTTAGAACAGTCACTTTATAAATCCTATGCTTTTATATTCTTTGTATAAATAAATGATAAACTGTATAAATTTTATTTATTTTCTTCCAAATATTTATAATCAATTAAGCTAGCTATTATCATTTTATTATTTTCTACCAAATACTCATTAAGAACATTGAATACAATTTCTCATTTACTAATCAAAAGTACTGTTATGTCTGGCATCATATGGTAACTATTCATTTTCTCCTTTTCTAATACAACTCTTCACTGAGTACTCAGCTCCATGTGCACAAATATTAAACCAGAAGTACTGCAAACTAATTTACATACAAGGATATATGGATGGGACTCCCTAATTAATACTGAATGAGACCAGTTCAAACACAGCCTTGCAGAAAGACACTAAATCATCCACTTGAGAGAATCAACCAACAGGAAGAAACTGTAAACGAGCAACTAAGGGAACTCAAATATAACAGCAGTAATTAGGATCAGAATAATACCTATCTTCATGGTACATAGGTTTTATCAAGTTACTTCCAGATATAAATGCTTTATTTTAGAGGCTATGTAGATCAACTGCTTATAAACTTTCTTACCATGTTGTAATCACTCATTACTTCTTCCATTTCAGTATTGGTATTAAGTTTATCTGCCAACTAAAATCAAAAGTACAAAAAAAACATTCTATTAGTCTTCATAAATTCTTTCTATAATCCATAATATAGGTATTCAATCTTACAAATAAATAGTTATTTATTACTACTTCCAAGACAAAACAAATATTGAGCTACTTAAATAAGTACATTCTATGCATTAGGGCAATCAACAAACTACATTTTTTGGAAGGAAAAGTAAGCAGTAAAGAACTATTCTTTCTGCAGATAATACCTCAAGAGTTTTGCCTTCTCTGAAAAGATGTCTAAGCTTATAAAGAAGGATGTTGAGAAGACAAAATCTGGGGGAAGATCTTTCTCCTTCTTTTCCCCAAGGGGAAGAAATGTTAATGGATTTACAAATTACACCACTGAAAATGTAAAGTGATTTAATCTTTTAAAAATTATAAAAAAATTAAATTGAAAAAAATCAACAGGGCATGGCACAAACAGAACACTTCAAACAGAAGCGTACTTCAAAAAGTCAGGCAAAGGACATGGAAGCAACCCAGATGCTCATCAGCAGACGAATGGATAAGGAAGCTGTGGTACATATACACCATGGACTATTACTCAGCCATTAAAAAGAGTTCATTTGAATCAGTTCTAATAAGATGGATGAAACTGGAGCCCATTATAAAGAGTGAAGTAAGCCAGAAAGATAAAGACCAATACAGTATACTAACACATATATATGGAATTTAGAAAGATGGTAATGGTAACCCTATATGCAAAACAGAAAGAGACACAGATGTACAGATCAGACTTTTGGACTCTGAAAAAGAGTAAAATAGATCACCAGCCCAGGTAGGATGCATGAGACAAGTGCTCGGACCTGGTGCACTGGGAAGACCCAGACGGATCGGGTAGAGAGGGAGGTGGGAGGGGTATCGGGATGGGGAATACATGTAACTCCATGGCTGATTCATGTCAATGTATGACAAAAACCACTACAACATTGTAAAGTAATTAGCCTCCAACTAATAAAAATAAATGGAAAAAAAAAAGTTAGGCAGTGACAGCAACAGCAAACATATTTATCGATTTACCTTGTGCTAAACCTTGTTCTGAGTCTATTATATGCACTGTTCCACTTAATTATCACAAGTACACTATGAAGTAGATATTATTATCCACATTTTGCAGATACAAAAATTTAGCAAGTTGTCAAAGCAGAATTTGAACAGGAAGGCTACTAAAAGCAAACTATCTGGATGTAATTGACTCTAAAAGACTAAACTTTCCTAATGTAATATATATTACTATATATAACATTTTCAATTGTGATATGGATAATAAGTGCTTTTGTTATTGTTATTGTTCAGTTGCTAAGTTGTGTCTGAATCTCTGCGACCCCATGGACTGCAGAATGCCAAGATTCCCTGGCATTTACCATCTCCCACAGTTTGCTCCAACTGATGTACATTGAGTCGGTGATGCCAAGCAACCATCTCATCCTGTCATCCCCTTCTCCTCCTGTTTTCAATCTTTCCCAACATTAGGGTCTTTTCCAATGAGTCAGTCTTCACATCTGGTGGCCCAAGTGTTGGAGCTTCAGCTTTAGTATCAGTCCTTCCAATGAATATTCAGAGTTCATTTCCTTTAGAATTGACTGGTTTCATCTTCCTGCTATCCAAGGGACTCTCAAGAGTCTTCTCCAGCACCACAGTTCAAAAGCATCAGTTCTTCAGTGCTCCACCTTCTTTATGCTCGAACTCTCACATCCATTAATGACTACTAGAAAAACCACAGCTTTGACTACAAGGACCTTTGTTGGCAAGGTTATGTCTCTGCTTTTTAATACACTGTCTAGGTTGGTCATAACTTTTCTTCCAAGGAGCAAGTGTCTTTTAATTTCATGGATGCACTCACCATCTGCAGTGATTTTGGAGCCCCCAAAAATAAAGTGTATCACTATTTCTATTGTTCCTCCATCTATTTGCCATGAAGTGATGGGACCAGATGCCATGATCTTAGCTTTTTGCATAATAATGCTAATAAGATCTAATATTTACTGAAAAGTTACTCTGTGTTAGATAACTGGCTAACTAAGTGCTTTCTCTGTATTAAAGAAAAACCTACAAACAGCATATTTTACATATTATTAATATTTTCATATCAAGTAACTTGCATAATATATTCTCATATAACTAAAAATCCCTTTCATCTGTCTTTTTATATCTTATAAAAATTATTTTTCTCATATTGAGAAGATCATTTACTAGATTATAGTGTGAAAATATACTATTAATATAATCAGAAATTCTGTTTATGAATACAATATAACAATATCAAGTAGGTATATTAGAATGTACCTAACCATTATGGTGGCACATTTCTTACTTTGTGTATCACCATTTTTTAGTTGGAGAAGTGAGAATCAAGTTTTCAGTAAGTTCAGAGACCACTGCTACCTAAAGCACCCACAGAGTAGGAAGAAAGAAAATTCTGAAACATTAGAAACTTTCATGGGGCCAAGATTACTCCAAAGATTGAGCCAGTAATCAACACTGCAAACAAGATCATTTCTTTTGGAAATCCACACTAGGAAGCTTCTTCTGGAAGTTCACATTTGGAAGCAAAACTGTGATTATACTAGATGCCCTATTGTGACAGAAGACAAACACTGCATTTTGAATGAAATGGAAGGATAAAGGCAAGCTTGGTACTAAGTAACTAAATTTTTAAAACATCATGATGACAACACTCTGTAGAAAGATAAAAGTATTTTTAAAGCAGTGACATTGCTAATACTCAATATATTTTATCTACTCTAAAAAATATTATTTTTAAATTGTTAGAGAAAAAAGTATGCATGTTCTGTATTTTTAACTGTTTTTCTTTTAAAGGCTGGAAGAACACCTATTAATCTGTAAAGCCAAAATATTTTTCAGGAGGCAAAGTAGGAAGAAAGCAAATATATACTTTAATCTCTACACTTGCTATCGTTTCAATCTTTTTCACTATGTATGTACTCATGCATTATTTGGTATTTAGCATTAAAGTGTTATAGCATTTTCTAAAGTGGTAAAAAGCAATGAAAATATTCAAAAGAAATACTCTCAGAAAAGACCAAATACCATGTTGTAGTCTGCTAGTTGTCCTTGAAACTCTTTTATTTCAACAGCTAGAGTCTCAGCTCTGTAAATATAAAATACATTCATAAATAGGCAGATGAACATTATGAATATTATGTTTAACTACAAATGTAGTACTAAAATTCTGAAACATATTACATCAAATGTTATTCATAATAAAAATATACCTTGCATACTTTAACTGCAAAATTACTCACCTCTTTTCATATGACAAATATACTGAATTCTCTTGATTGTACATTTCTATTTCTTTCTGAAGTTTATTGATTTCTGTTGTAAGTTCACTTATTTTACTTCTAATGGAAAGAAATAAAGAAATTAGTAATACTTCCAATCCAGAAAAGTCTAGTTAAACAAAATAAACTTTTCATAAATGTGTAACAACAATATAAATGGTTTTGTGAAATTTCACTAAAAAAAGAAAAACAATTTAAGCAGCTTATTTGATTAAGGTGGTATACTCCAACTGAGAAATTGATAAAAGTTCTTTATTCATTAAAAAAAGATGAAACAGTATTAGAATGGAAACCTGGGCAAACTGGTACAATCTATAGACAGAAGCAGACACCTAACTGTCACTCTCACAGTTCTTGCTACCCTCTAGGATAGGATTTTTCAAGAGCAGCACTATGGACATTTTAGGTCTTTTAATAATACTTAAAACAATACTTTCTATGCACTGTAAGATGCTTAACCATCTCTCTGGTATGGATGCCAATGGCACATCACCCAAATCCAGTTATGATAACAAAAAATGAGTCTAAAAATTGCCAAATATTCCTTAAGGGGGCAAAATCAATGCCAGTTGAGAACCACTGTTCTTCACTCAATTAACATAAATAGATAATTGTAATTTTTAGTAAAGAAGCACAAAACTTGGAGAAGAGAGGCAATGTGATGGTGAGAAATAGCTCTATCACCTTACCTTCTTTTGATTAAAAGGTGACTATATATCAACACTGATGGCCTCACTCTCATTCTTACTGATGTCAACTTTGAGGACAGATGGGAGAAAACCTTCCCTTCTCTTACTAACTTCTAGGAGTTTGAGGATCAAAAGGATTCAAGTAACTGAACAGGAAAAGAATTAAGAAGGACTAAATGAAAGAAAACAGAGATTTCAGGATACGATAGAAGAATGCATTAAATAGAATGCAAGTAATTGGAAAAGACCCTGATGCTGGGAGGGATTGGGGGCAGGAGGAGAAGGGGACGACAGAGGATGAGATGGTTGGATGGCATCACTGACATGAGTTTGAGTAAACTCTGGGAGTTGGTGATGGACAGGGAAGCCTGGTGTGCTGCGACTCATGGGGTCACAAAGAGTCTGACACGACTGAGCGACTGAACTGAACTGAAGAAAGAAAGAAGACACAGAGGATGAACCAACCAGAAAATAAAGTAAAATGGAAAAATAGAGATAGGCTAGATAGGCAGAGAAAAAAGTAGGTCTAGAAAGAGAAAAGAGTTCTTAATTTAGGGCTGCATACTTAAGAGATATATAACAAACTTATGAATTAAATAAAATTAGGCCACATGTATAGCAACTGACTAAATATATACTTGCGTAAAACTCTGTAGTAATTATTATAAATAAGTATATATATTTTATGGATAAGGAAATGGCAATGCACTCCAGTATTCTTGCCAGGAGAATCCCATGGACAGAGGAGCCTGGTGGGCTACATACAGTCCAAGGGATCGCAGAGTCAGACACGACTAAAACAATTTAGCAGGCACGCATATACATTTTATCATTCATACACATATCTATGAAGAATATGTTTCAGAATAATTAGTGAAAGAAGCATAAAATATTCTTCTCATTAGATGAAAAATAGTGAACTGGAAATATATAGCTCACATACATTCTAATACATAAAATTTAAAATCTCAGCCTAACTATACCACCACCATTTGTGATGACATATATTTAGAGCCAGATTAACCATAAATTATGTCAGAATACAAAATAATCTTAACAATTAACAGATACCTAATTATCTCAGTAAGTACTATAATTAAAACTTCATGATCATTCATAGAAAAAAAAAGTATATAACATACCGAAGAAGTCCAAGATAGTAAGATTTGTCTAAAATTTGCCTCTGGGGACCTAAAAAAAATTTTTAGGTATTAGTGTTCAGTTTGAAAATGCCACCACATTAGCAAATCCAAAGCACAACCAGAATTACACTCAACAATTCTCTAACAGCCCTCCCAGTAAGTCTAAAAATCTGAAAGAAGCAATGAAATAGAAAAGAGAACTAATATCTTAGCATCATGACATAATGGAAGCCTGAATTAAGACCACAAAGATGGGACTAGAGGTTGGGCTGTTAAGAGAGTGGATTCAAAAAACCAACAAAAACATTGGACTCTACTGGTTAGGTGACTGAATGGAAACTGGGCCTAACAGGGTCTAGAACAGGACTAACCAAGAGAACGTTCTGCAACAATGGAAATATTCTACAGCAGCACTGTCCAGTAAAGTAGCTACATGGGAATACTGACCACCTGAAACATGGCTGGTGGTATGTGAAAAGAAAAGAAGCGAAAAGCAAAGGAGAAAAAGAAAGATATACCCATCTGAATGCAGAGTTCCAAAGAATAGCAAGGAGAGATAAGAAAGCCCTCCTCAACGATCAATGCAAAGAAATAGAGGAAAACAATAGAATGGGAAAGATGAGAGATCTCTTCAAGAAAATTAGAGATACCAAGGAAACATTTCATGCAAAGATGGGCTCAATAAAGGACAGAAATGGTATGAACCTAACAGAAGCAGAAGATATTAGGAAGAGGTGGCAAGAGTACACAGAAGAACTATACAAAAAAGATCTTCCTGACCCAGATAATCACAATCGTGTGATCACTCACACTCACCTAGAGCTGGACATCCTGGAATGTGAAGTCAGGTGGGCCTTAGGAAGCATCACTAAGAACAAAGTTAATGGAGGTGATGGAATTCCAGTTGAGCTATTTCAAATCCTAAAAGATGATGCTGTGAAAGTGCTGCACTCAATATGCCAGTTCATTTGGAAAACTCCCAGCAGTGGCCACAGGCCTGGAAAAGATCAGTTTTAATTATAATCCCAGAGAAAGGAAATGCCAAACAATGCTCAAACTACCACACAGTTGCACTCATCTCACATGCTAGTAAAGTAATGCTCAAAATTCTCCAAGCCAGGCTTCAACAATACATGAACCGTAAACTTCCAGGTGTTCAAGCTGGATTTAGTAAAGGCAGAGGAACCAGAGATCAAAATGCCAANTGTTGGAGAAGACTCTTGAGAGTCCCTTGGACTGGATCCAACCAGTCCATCCTAAAGGAGATCAGTCCTGGGTGTTCTTTGGAGAGACTGATGTTGAAGCTGAAACTCTAATACTTTGGCCACCTGATGCGGAGAGCTGACTCATTTGAAAAGACCCTGATGCTGAGAAAGATTGAGGGCAGGAGGAAAAGCGGATGACAGAGGATGAGATGGTTGGATGGCATCCACGACACAATGGACATGGGTTTGGGTGGACTCCAGGAGCCAGTGATGGACAGGGAGGTTGTGGTTATGGCGTCACAAAGAGTTGGACATGACTGAGCGACTGAACTGAACTGGTAAAATACTTTAATTTTAATTAATTTAAATAATCACAAATATTTGTATTTGTAAAAATACAAATAATTTATATTACAAATACAAATAGCTATTGGCTATCACAATGGACAGTGTAGGTTTTGACTATAAATTTCTCAGTGTAGGCCAGAGATTATGATTTTATATAATTTTTCAGAGACTTTTCAGGAATACAATCTTACATTTCAGTAGGACTAAAAAAGCCCATAGGTTAAATGTCCCAAACCTTGAGAGAGGGGAAGTGCCCTGCATGGCATGAGAGAAAAGGCTAGGAAGTATTGACTGAAATCCATGCTGAGAAGAGGAAGAGAATGTCTCACTAGAATGGGAAATGAGGCACTGGAACAGGTAACAGCAAAATCACAGCAGATAGTGGTACATGCTGGTAACAGAACTTTTCACATAAGGCTTTAAACTATATTTGTAGAAAATGACTATTTTCTTAAACACCTAAATGCTATTTAAGTATTATTAAATAATACTTAAATTATTAAATAATACTTAATATTTAAGTATTAAATAATACTGGTTATTATTTAAATAATATTGGTTCTTATCTTATTTAATCTTAAATAATTAAATAATATTTAATTATTAAATAGTTAATAATACTGATTGTTTTAAAGGAGAAATTAATACAGTAATAAAATTTGATGAGTTCTTAGAATTGCACCCTTAAGGTTTCTGCCCTTAAGGTTTTTAAATAAGAAATATTAAATACATAAATGATTCTGTGAATACACTTTTAAAGACTAAACAACTACAAAATTTTGAGTCATTTTCCTCTACAGCATTGATAATTAATTATTAAGCAAGTATTTCTAAACAACTGATTTTTTTTCATCCTTTGGCCACCCTGCATGGCACATGGGATCTTATTCAACCAGGGATCAAATCTGTGGCCCCTGCATCAGAAGTGCAGAGTCTTAACTACTGAACCACCAGGGAAGTCCAATAACCAACTGGTTTTTAATATTTAGTGAACTAAGTTGTACCATAAGTAAGAAAATTAAGTTTGCTGAAAGGTAGGATATATTATATTATAGAAGTCGGTATATCACCTTATACTAATTTCATACTAGTATGTTCATCCCTGATAAGTCATTTGCACATATACATAAAATTTAAAAACTCAATATGAAACAGTTCCCTATGTTTTGATTTATATATATATAATAGACCAAATTTTTGGTCTATTATAAAACATATAGTGTTATTATTATTATGCATTTCTAAACACATAGAGAGATAAGGAGAGATGTAGTATAAATCTGTATGTTAGCCTCACTTTCTTACTTAAGCATTATAATGGAATAATAATTATTACCAAAAGTAACACTTCTGGTCTCACTTCTCATAAATATACAAATACCTACCATTGTCATTTTGATATGGAAACCAAAAAAAACTATTTCAGAATATTTCTATATAGTACTAGAAATCTAATTTTCATTTCTGAGTTTTCCTTCAAATTTCTTCAAAGAAATTATAGTAAAGTTCACCAACAAGGACCTACTTGCTCTACAGCATAGAAAACTATAGTCAACATTGTATAATAACCAAAAGGGAAAAGAATTTGAAAAGAAATATACATGTATATGTAAATCAACTATACTTCAATTTTAAAAATTTATAGCAAAGTTCACCAGAAAAATGATTAAAATAGCTCATACATGTACATAACTCCATAGTTCACAATGAATTCTCATATTCATTCTCTTATTTAACCCTTAAAATTTTTGAATCAAGGAGTAAGAACTGAGAAAAATAGCCTTTCACTGTATAATTCTGATTTAGCAATACACTGTAATAGCTCCCAGGTGGCGCTAGTGGTAAAGAACCTGCCTGCCAACATGCAATGTAAGAGATAAGGGTTCCATCTCCAACATCTCGGGTCAAGAAGATCCCCTGAAGAAGGGAAGAGCAAGCCACTCCAGTATTCTTGCCTGGAAAATCCCATGGAGAGAAGAACCTGGTGGGCTACAGTCCATATGGTTGCAGAGTCAGACCTGACTGAAGTGACACAGCACTAATATACTGTAATACTTCTTATATAAAATATGCTCATCTTCTTAAAATAGATACCTTTCATACCAGTTTTCATCCCACTCAAACCTTGCTGTGTTACAGGACGATCAGCAACTCTGATTTGAGAAGACAGAACTCCTCCTGTCCCTACGGGACCACCACGAGAGCCTGGTCTTGCTGTTCCAGGTGGCATCTAAATGACAAGATTCAGTTTCAATAAAATAGAGAAATACTGTGCCTCTGAGATTAACAGTATACAAAGAATATTAAAAATAAAACTAAGAATTCTATATAATATGTAAACTTTTCCTTACATTTTAAAATGTTTGATATAGTACATAAAATTAATATCTAAAATTAATGATAAGTAATATTTTTCTTTAAAATGTAAAATTCTATGTGTTAGACAATATTTATACCACTTCCAAACTGTAAAGGAGCAAAATGTCCACATATTTGTCCTTATTTAACAACAGGACTAATGGTGAAGCTGAAGCTCCAATATTTGGGTCATCTGATGTGAAAAACCAACTAATTGAAAAGTGTCTGATGCTGGGTAAGAGTGAGGGCAGAGGGAGAAGAGAACATCAGAAGATGAGGTGGCTGGATGGCATCACCAATCAATGGACACGAACCTGGGCAAATTTTGGGAGATGGTGAATTTATATAATATACTTGCCTACATTTTCCGCTAATACATTTATGATTTCATTTTTTAATATAAAATTTTGAAAATATCTAGGACTCTGTGTGAGGGTGGGAGTTGGTTTATAAAAACAAATGGTTTACCAATTATTCAGCAGTACTGAATACTTCATGCTTTCCTACTAATTTGAAATGCAACCTTCATCACTAATTAAATTCCTCTTGCCTAATTCCATTTCTGGTCTATTCCACTTCACTTGGTTTTGGCACCAATACACTATGCCCCTAAATTGTTGTAGCTTTAAAATAAATTTCAATATTAGTATGAGTACACATTGTCTCTTAACATTAGTCTTTTAAACATTCTCACACATATAGTCGTGTCCAATTCTTTACAACCCCATGGACTATACAGTCTGTGGAATTCTCCAGGCCAGAATACTGGAATGGGTAGTCTTTCCCTTCTCCAGGACATCTTCCCAACCCAGGGGTTGAACAAAGGTCTCCCATATTGCAGGTGGATTCTTTACCAGATGATCCACCAGGGAATCCCAAGAATACTGGAGTGGGTAGCCTATCCCTTCTCCAGTGGATCTTCCCAACCCAGTAATCGAACCAGGGTCTTCTGCATTGCAGGCAGATTCTTTACCAATTGAGCTACCAGCGAAGCTCTTTATACTTCTAGATGTTTAAAAAAACAAACAAACAAACACATATAATAGTATGCTTATAGCATAAAGAAAAACAAAGAAGAATCTCTATTTATTATAGACAGGCTTTTCAAATTCTACCAGGATATACATATAATAGTTCAACAATTTGTTTTAAACTTACACCAGTTGCCACTCGAATATTTCCTGATGGGGGTCGTATTCCAGAAGGAGGCCTTCCTGTCAATCCAATCCCACCTCGAGAAACAGGGCGAACTGCTGAAGGTTTGTGATTACTGGCCATTATTTGCTCAGTTTAACCACTGCTTGGAAACAAGAATAATTTAATTCTCCTTTGATACCTCCTGTAGCAAGACAGGAGTGAACCACATACCCTTTCAAACATTTAATCCACTGTGACTTTTCTTACAAATTTATATTGTAGGTACCACTATGTACAAGGTTAAGCCTGCTTTAATTTTGTTCAGATTTGACATAACTGTTCCATTCAGAACCATGGAATCATTTATTATAACATGCCCTCCTCATTTCCCTACTATCTTATCAAAATGCAAGTCCCTCTACTTACCTTTCTCTCCTGGGCTCTCATTCATACTCTAGTTAACTAAAGTTTTCTCTCTCCTTGCAAAACCAGTATCTTTCTTTTCTGACTATTTTTATCTGTGCTTTCTGGTCTATAGTAAATTCCCTTATATTCTCAACCCTGTTATAAATACTTCCTTGTACTCGTCAACTTAACAGGATCCTGTCTTCTGAAAATACTTTTGGTAGTGAAGGCTGTCTTAGCTTCTTGTCCAAGGCAAAGAATGGCACTCTCCTTGCTCCACAATGTAATTGGCAAACGTTATTCTTCAAAGTTTAAAAAAAGTAATGAACAACAGGATTCTCTTCCGTTGAGGACCAAATAATGCAACTATATTGCCTTGGATCTTTTCTGGTAGATTTTATATAGGAGCCACCTAATCTCTCCCCCATATTTACTAAAGTCTTGTGTATCCTGTTCAGTCTCTCCATTCTAGTACCATCAACAACCTAGATGATTTCCATATAGATACTGGATTCAACATGTAACATTCTAGCTTCACAGTTCCATGACCCAAATCCCAGCAATCATTTCAATTCTAATTCATGGCCATGGGCAGAGCTGGAGCTTATCATCATCTGGAATTGCTTCATCTCAAATATCTTAAAGAGATACTTTATTCTCTGGCCTTAATTTCCTCTCCTACCTTTTTCTCACAAAAGACTTTGATGCTGGGAAGGATTGAGGGCAGGAGGAGAAGGGGATGACAGAAGATGAGATGGTTGGATGGCATCACCGACTCAATGGACATGGGTTTGGGTAGACTCCGACAGTTGGTAATGGGCAGGGACACCTGGCGTGCTGCAGTTCATGGGGTCACAAAGAGTCGGACACGACTGAGCGACTGAACTGAACACCTCCCCTTAAACTATTTCCTTTATTCATTCTCTCCTAGTTTATCAGCCCCCTCCTGTACTCAGCAGAATAAAATATCATTCAAAATTTTGACTATTTAAAATAGCATTTTAAAATTATGGTCATAATTAGTGGCTTATAAAAACAACTTAGAGGGTTATGACCAATTTGAGTTAAACATGAAATAAAACAGAAGATACAAGAGGTTTCACTGCACATAGGAAGGGTACTGTTTCATTAAATTTTTGTTTCAGTTATATTTGTGTAAATTTATACATATGTGTATACGAGTCTATAATGTAAGATATATGTCCTATTATGAATAATGTTCAAAAGAGTTTCAAAGATTCTGAACTAGAGAGAGAATATGGAGAAAAAGAGTACCTAAGACTCTGGCATGAGGAATTTAAATATATACAGGCTGCACAGAAGAGGGAAAGCGTGTATAAGAGACTGAAAACAAAGACTAAGAAAGCTAACAGAAAAGCCAGGAGTGTGTGTGTCAGAGATGCCAAGAGAAGGCAAGAATGGTCAGCCATGACATTTTCTTCTGGGAATTCAAATAAGATGAACACTGAAATGTCCACTGAAATCCCCACTAAAAAGCCATTAGTGACCATGATGGTCATTTTCAAGGATTCCTTTTCTTCTCAACATTAAATTACTGTCTCATGAGCACCATCACTAATTTGCATCCTTGAACACTTCTTCAACCCATTTCACAAATCAGAAACTATTCTCTACATTCAACCTGGACTGCTGAACACCATTGATGGAAATCTCACAGCTCTATAGACTGGAGAACTGCAAAGTCATAGTCACCAAATTTAGATGGATCTTCACATCTCTGAAATTATTTTATTTATCCTTGATAAGCTACTCTGTCCTTGATGATTCCAATTCTTAACAACTTTTCTACTTCTACCTCTCTCAGCAGATGACTTAATTTCATAATTAAGAAAATTAAGATGTGAAATCCATCATATTTGGAGCAAATCAACTTACCTATATAAATACTGCCTTCCAATCTCAATAGCCATGACTTCTCTCATTCAAGATCAATCTCTATTCTGATTTATCCTCTTAATCCCACACCTCTGGGACATTAGCTTCCCTCTTCTTGCCAAACTCCTTCTCCCTAACCCCTGCTCCAAGCTCCTTCGGAGCATTATCCAGCTCCTGAGAAGGGGATAACAGAGGAAGAGATGGTTGGATGGCATCACCAACTCGACGGACTTGAGTTTGAGCAAGCTCCAGAAGTTGGTGATGGACAGGGAAACCTGGTGTGCTGCGGTCCATGGGATCGCAGAGTCGCACACGACTGAACAACTGAACTGACTGACTATGTATAAACTTCTTCCTTTCTTTGAGTCTGGTGTCATGTTCCATTCTTTCCTAACCCTAAAAACTAATTTCTTGATTCTGAAACCACATTTAATTCTGTCGTATATATTCTTTTTCTACACCGGCAAATTCTAAGATATTGCAACCATCTCCAGGATACTCCCCTCTTCTGTTTCGACTCTTTCAGTCTCCTTCATCTTATTCTACCTGCTCCTATTGTCGCATTTCTCAAGATACGAACCAGTCTATTTTTCTTTTTCCTCTCTACCATCTCATTGATCCACCTCATCTATACTCAAGGTTTGAGCAATTAATAAGCTGATGACTCACAATACTGAATTTCCAGTCCTGACTCCTCACACTCCCTCTGAGGTGTTTATATCCAAATAATTACTTGCCATTTTCACTTCAATATAGTATCAACATTTCAAAACAAATGAAAAGTAAACTCACTGTCATCTCTCCCGAATTTACTCTTCCCCCTGGTATACCTCCTAATCACACAAGCCAGAAATTTAGTCCTTGATTTCTCCCTCTCCCTCATTTCCCATGGCTAACCACATAATCCTAATTTTATTTCTAAATATTTAAAATATAACTTCCAAAAAATAAATGGAAAAAAAAATAAATAAAATAAAATAAAATAAAATATAACTTCCTCTCCATTGCTATAGTACTGCTCAGAGCCTCATGGACTCAAGTGGATTATATTGGCCTCCTGACTTGTCCCTTGTGTAACACAACTTGCCTGTTATACTCCCTAGGAATCCATGAACCACCAGTCCATAACCACCCTGCTGCTGCTGCTGCTAAGTTGCTTCAGTCGTGTCCTACTCTGTGCGACGCCATAGACAGCAGCCCACCAGGCTCCCCCGTCCCTGGGATTCTCCAGGCAAGAATACTGGAGTGGGTTGCCATTTCCTTCTCCAGTGCATGAAAGGGAAAAGTGAAAGTGAAGTCGCTCAGTCGTGTCCGACTCTTAGCGACTCCACGGACTGCAGCCCACCAGGCTCCTCCGTCCATGGGATTTTCCAGGCAAGAGTACTGGAGTGGGTTGCCATTGCCTTCACCGAATAACCACCCTAACCTTCTTCAATTTGAATTTACAGGGCTGTCTGAACTGCTACTATGCATCTGTACACATATCTATCCCAGGACCTATCACACCAACCTGCTTAAATATTTTTCCACCTTGAAGGCAAGAGCTGGATCTTATTCATTTTTACATCCCCAGCATTAATCTCAGTGCCAGGCAAAAACTTTTTTTTTTGTACCTTCTGAATTTCCTTCCACATGAAGGCATTGCCAGCTACAAAATCCAGCTACAAAAATTTACTAAATTATCAAAAAGAAAACAAATCACTTCTTAAACCAAAATGGCTTCTCAGTTTCAGTAGCCCCTGCCCAGTACTTCTCTGGGTTTCCTTGGCATTATTCATGATCAATCTTGGAATTATTTCTCTCCTCTCCATAATATTTTGTTTTCATTTAATTCTAATTAGGCTGATGACTCACAAATCAGTATCTCCAGTTCTGTCCTTAAAACTGGACAACAATTCTGAGTTTTCAACTGCTGGGGGGGAGGTGGATTTCTATTCAGATATCCCATTATTACTTTATATTTAATATGTTCACAGCAGACTTAGAATCATCCCATTCCAACTAGCTCCGTGATTCTATTTTCTGGCCATTTTAAACTCTTCGGACAAAGTAACAGAATTATTACTATTATTTCAAATGGAAAAGTACGTTTTATAAAACGACTTTTTCAAAGGCAGACGAGGTCTATGGTCCAAACAGTTTCTACCAGGGACTTCCCTAGCAGTCCACTGGTTAACTCTCTGTGCTTCCACTACAGGGGGCACCAGTTCCATCCCTGCTGTTGGAACTAAGGCGGTGGCAAGGGGGAAAAAAAGAAAAACGGTTTCCTCTCAGAGAAAGTTAAGACCATAAACCTTTTCATTCAGCAAAAATAGTTGGGGTTACTCTAGCTTTCCTGAAAACTTTAAGAAATTGGACAATACATAGAATTCCACCCGATTCCACTGCTTTATTACAGCGGGAAAAAATTTAGTTAACATTTTATCAGTTTTACGGGGTAAAATACAAGGGAGGAGCACTAGTAACAAACAGGCCACTAACTCCGGGGTTAGTCTTTCGAATATTCGCATAATCTAAGGGGTTATTCAAACAACCAGAGAGGTCCCAGAAAGACTAGGGATACTAACGGAGCTCCGACAGTTACCAGCCATACACCCTCAGGGCGTGTTTTCTTATTGTAGTCTGGCGAGAGCTCCAGCTTGCAGTCTTTGTGGCGATTTCAGATACTGAAATACCTGGCTCCTAATTATTATCCCAATCATTATCCTCCCCAAACCAACCATTTTAATATATTTTGAAGAAGCGGAAAGTTGCTAAGTCCCTTCTGCTATGACCAACAGACAGACAGCTATTACTACTTCGAGTAACACTCAGCCCACAGTTAATTTTCTGAGGCGCTCGGGACGTTCCCTCTGGTCCCCTGGCAGGTCTGCTTAGGGGACTGTGTGAGAAAATCTTTTCTCATGTTCTGCAGGACTAAAAATGGGCCTTCCTTAGCCCGGCGTCGGGCTGGAGGAGAACTCCTAAGAGCCGGGTTTATTTTGTTTGAAGCCCATCAGCATCGTCCAAGCTAAGACAACCAGTAACGGACGCAAGGAAAAAGTTGGGACCGGGGATTTCTCACCTCAGCTGGCGCTGAGGGGTGCGAAAGGAGCGAGGTCGCACCACCCAGGGGCACTCGAACTTCTTGCGAGCCCTCCACCACCGCAAGCCCACCGGTAGGGCCAGCGAACCCGCTCCCTAACTGGAAAGGTCGCTCTCACCAGCTTGCAGCTTTCCTAGGCCCTCAAAGCCTAATCTCTGGCAGCCGCGAGCCTTTTCGTCGCCCGGGAACAGGGGGCGGGGTGCCTCTATCGGATTGGCCAATCCTCGGCCTCCGCTCAGTGACGCGAGAGTGAAATGTTCTCGCGATATTTGACGGCTAACTTTCGTTTTCTCGGTTCCCCAGAGCTTTTCTGGAAGAGATGGAAAACGGCGTTTTGGCTAGGAATGAATATTTTATTTGGAAACTGATTTTCTTTATAATCAGAATAATCTCTCTGATTGTGTACCTGACGTGAACTCACTCCAGCGAGTTTTATTATATCGCTGTGCAACGTCATTTGTACTCCGTCAAACTTTTTAATGAGAATTATTTCAAGTTATTCCGTGGTAGGCAGCATTCGTGGTACAGTCTTTTTCTAATTAGTGGTAGCTTCCTTTTCATTAGAAGAAAGGAACGCAACACATATGATACTGCATTAAGTCTCGATGCGATTCTGGTAGCATGTTCTCACTTCATTGAAGGCTTTATACCTTTAGGCTTCTTTTCACAGTGATTCTGTGAGGAGGGCTGAATTTAAAGCGAATTGCCTTAAAAGAATTATTTTAATATCAATTTTTTTAAATTAAGAAAAATGAGAACTACGTCGTCTCAAATCCTACTTCTCTAATAAAAGGAAATTTAAGTTTGTTTTTTCCAGTTTTCCTATAGTCAGCTTAAATGTGACGGGAGCTCTAATTTTATATGTGTGTGTGTATATATATATATATATATATATAAAACTTTTAACATTTTCACACTTTCCATCTTGCATACCTTATGTCCAGGTTTACTGTTGTATGCCTGCCTTCAAGTAGGTTAAAATCTGTGCAATACAAAATGAAATGTTCTGTGACTGAGTTCTGAAAGTTTGTAAAGCATTTTCGTGTAATTATTCCACTTGAGATCAACATATTTGTTGTCTTTAGGGTCACTTTAGTGAAGGGAAGTAGAATTTGCCATCCCAAAGTATGCCACATTGGTAAAAGGCTTATTTTGAGTGGAAGGCAATTGAAAAGATGTAGATACAAGAAAAGCTCTCCATTCCATTTGCGTAAAAACAGAACATAAATTTTCAAAGTCTCCTCTTCTAGCTTCTTAAACAGGAAGGCCAAAAGTTAATCATTGGAGACCTTTATCAGCCTGGAGACAGCACCAGAGGAATCTACTAAAAACAATTAACCAGCCTTTACTGTTAGTTTCCCATCTAATTGCCTTCCCATAATGCTACCTCTGAAGAGTCCTTTTACCCCTTGTATAGAAACTTATCGTTCCTTTGTTAAGATGCTGTATAAGCCCAAACTCTAGCCACCGAGCTATTCATCTCTTAATTTCTTTGTATATATAATACATGTAACAACAACAAAGAAAAAAAAACGTTTTTAATCTTCTTCATCTTTTACTACAGAGCCCCAGCAGAAACGCTAGAAAGAAAAACCTTCAACTTCTAACGTCCAACTATTTTATATGGTCTCATAGAGAAGCTACTGTCGTGCCTTTTCGAAACGTCGGTGTTTCCAGACATAAGGGAGACCCAACATTTGCCATTTGTATAGAGTTGTGACAGTTTGAGAGAAAATCTTAAAAAAAACACAAAACTTTCTCTAAAGTACCAAGAACCCAGTTTAGTATTCTCAGAATTTAAGGCAAGTGATTGTCTCCAATTTAGTCCCAAGATCTCTCGTCTTAGATTAAAAAAAAAAAAAAAAAAAAAACAACACCTCGGGAGACTACGCAGAGTTTGTGAAAATCGGACTAAGTTTGCTCCCAAGACAACACGTGAAGCGAACTCAATTAGCCAGGCGAACCAAGATTTAAAATACCCGGATTTGGCGCTCCTGGGACTCACGCCCCGCTTACGCGTGGCATTGTGGGATTTGTAGTTCGGACCATATCCGGTATCGAAATAAAAAGCTCAGCCAGGGCTCGGAGAGGACTCAGGCTCAGAAAAGAACCAGATTTGGGCGCCCAGACAGAGAGGCCGGCGGTGGTATTTCTTCCTCGCTGGCGGTCCAAGCGACCGTCGCCTCCGCGTTGGCCTCAGCAGTCAGGACGCACACACTCTGCGTCATGGCGGGCTGAGGCCGATGATGAATTCCGGTGTGCATGTCAGGGTTGCTGTGTCACTCGGCCCACTCGGCGCGCCCCTTCCCTGCCGTCCTTCCGCACCGGCCCTTGGGCTCTTCCGGGCCCGGCGTCCCTCACCAGCAGGCGCTCTCCAGCCGCCCTCCCGGCCCCTTCGACTGACCGATCTCGCGCCGTGCCCCAGCCCCGGGCGCCGGACCCACCAGGGCCATGGCGAGCGGCGCCTGCAGGTACCGGCTGAGCTGCTCGCTGTCGGGCCACGAGCTGGACGTGAGGGGCCTGGTATGCTGCCTCTATCCACCGGGGGCTTTTGTGTCCGTGTCCCGAGATCGCACCACCCGCCTCTGGGTCCCAGACAGGTGAGCGCCCCGAGTCCCGTTAGCCCCCAATTGTGCTGCAAGCTTCCTGCGGAGTCCAGGAAGAGAGTGCCCCCTCCCTGCCCTTTTCCCTCTCTGGCCTTCCCTGCGATCCGCGCTCCCTCCCATTTCTGAGGTAACTGGCACTCTGGGTACGCCGTGTAAGAAACCTGTGAGATTTATGTGAAAAGAGTGCTGGGTTAAGGGAACAGAGACCTACTTTCTTGTCCTAACTTGACCACTAAAAAAGTGAGTGACCTTGGATGAACCTTTTATTTTTTGTGGCTTCAGTTTGTGAACGATGATTTTTCCCGTGTTTTCTATTTGAAAATTTTTTGATGCCAAGTCACCCTCATTAATGAGGTAGTGTAAAAGCATCTGGCATGTGATTGAAATAAATCCTCTTCTTTACTAAGAATTTGCTCTGTAGTCTTCCCTCAAATTTGAGAATTAAGGTTCTCAAAAATTGCATTGCAGGAAGGTGCCTTGGCTCCTTTCCACGTTATCCAACTCATAGTTTCTTAGTCCGAGTTAGGTGATGGACTTGAGTGGAGGGGAGAAAACTCCTCAACTGTTTTATGGATGTGGGGAGAGGGTGTTTTCTTGAGAGAAAGCCCACTGCCTTCAAAAGATTTTCAAGAGATTAATCAAGTTCAAGGGTTTAGCCCTGATTTAGCTGGTTGTAACAGGAAATGCTTCAACAGTATGTGGACCGTGAACTTCCAGATGTTCAAGCTGGATTTAGAAAAGGCAGAGGAACCAGAGATCAAATGGCCAACATCCACTGGATCATTGAAAAAACAAGAGAGTTCCAGAAAAGCATCTACTTCTGCTTTATTGACTATGCCAAAGCCTTTGACTGTGTGGATCACAACAAACTGTGGGAAATTCTGAAAGAGATGGGAATACCAGCATACCCAACTTGCCTCCTGAGAAATATGTATGCAGGTCAAAAGCAACAGTTAGAACTGGACATGGAGCAACAGACTGGTTCCAAATAGGAAAAAAAGTACCACAAGGCTGTATTTTGTCACCCTGCTTATTTAACTTATATGCAGAGTACATCATGCAAAATGCCAGGCTGGATGAAGCACAAGCTGAAATCAAGATTGCCAGGAGACATATCAATAACCTCAGATACACAGATGACACCGCACTTATGGCAGAAAGTGAAGAAGAACTGAAGAGCCTCTTGATATAAGTGAAAGAGGAGAGTGAAAAAGTTGGCTTAAAACTCAACATTCAGAAAACTAAGATCATGGCATCTGGCCCCTTCACTTCATGGCAAATAGATGGGAAAACAATGGAAACAGTGAGAGACTTTATTTTGGGGGGCTCCAAGACCACTGCAGATGGTGACTGCAGCCATGAAATTAAAAGACGCTTCCTCCTTGGAAGAAAAGTTATGACCAACCTAGACAACATATCAAAAAGCAGATACATTACTTTGCCAGCAAAGGTCCATCTAGTCAAAGCTGTGGTTTTTCCAATAGTCATGTATGCATGTAAGAGTTTTGGTCTATAAAGAAAGCTGAGCACCGAAGAATTGATGCTTTTGAGCTATGGTGTTGGAGAACTCTTGAGAGTCCCTTGGACTGCAAGGAGATCCAACCAGTCCATCCTAAAGGAAATCAGTCCTGAATATTCATTGGAAGGACTGATGTTGAAGCTAAAACTCCAATACTTTGGCCACCTTATGTGAAGAACTGACTCATTCAAAAAGACCCTGATGCTGGGAAAGATTGAAGGTGGGAGGAGAAGTAGACGACAGAGGATGAGATGGTTGGATAGCATCACTAACTCAACGGACATGAGTTTGAGTATGCTTCAGGAGTTGGTGGTGGACAGGGAAGCCTGGCGTGCTGTGGTCCATGGGGTTGCAAAGAGTCGGACACGACTGAGTGAACTGAACTGAACAGGAAATTTAAGACCTAGGAGGCAGATTTCTTTTTAGAAAGGGAAAAATTAGGTGAGTTAGTTTATGTAGTAATTCTTGCATCAGATATTTCACTCAATGAAACCATACATTTTCATCCATAAATTCCAATGATGACTATTTATTGAGAGCCTCCTTTTTGTTTGTGATCCTGAAGAAGAAAAAAAAGACAAGTTTCCTATGTTTATATATCTTAGCTACAGTCTGGGCGAGAAGACGGATGAAGAAAACAACCAAATAATTATACTTTGGCATGTGTACTGTGAAGAAAACAAATATGGAGTTGAGTGGAGAGAGATGCTAAAGAAGGAGGCCTCTCTGAGGGAGGTGTTTTGGGTTTTTATTTCTTCTTAAAAACCACTGAGCTGGAGGTAGTCAAGGGAATGAGGAACGGAAGTGAGTCAATTGGAAGAGTACTGTAGGCTGTAGGAAGAGCAGACACAGCTCTGGACTGAATAGGAGAAAAGTCCCTGTGTTCTGGAGGGAATGAGCTGTGAAGTGCAGGCAGATCTTAGAGGCTGGCAGAAGCCAGGACATGCCTGGTAGAGGGCTGAGGAAAGGAGCTAGTAGGTAGAAGCCCCCAAAGAGTTTCAGCAGGGAGCAGCATGATTTGATTTACCTGTGGAGAAGTTTCTGCTAGCTTCATG